AGGTTATTTTACACTGAAATGATATAACCAAATAAATTTTATAAAATAAACTGATTGATCATTTAGAAGGCTTTTAATCGCTTCTATTTAAAGTTATTAATGAACTAATTATTTGATTTTCAGATATTGACACTGGAGATGAATTGAGATTAAACTGATAGTCACATGATAATAAATGTATACAATAAGATATACATAAATATTAATATTTGATACATATTGAACTATAAAATAATACATTTAGATCAGTGATTTTGATTGGTGGAGTTATAGCATTGCGTTTCATTTACAGATAAAGTATGTCATGGAATATTGCTTTATAAATGCAGAACACTGGCTTCTTGTGGTTTATTAAAAACGCACATATTACTCTATGTAGACATGAATGTAAATCACCATGAAAAACTGCCACAAAGATGTTGTTCATTGTTAATTCATAATACCTAATGCATAATTTAAGGTCAGATTTACTTAGTGCAAGTGCAGGTTAATGCAAGTGTGAAAAGGTCTTCAAGTGATTTACTCACTCAGACAGCAGCTCATTTTCATGTCTATTGCACATAAACCACTGCAAATTAGATTGCAAACAAGCACAGCCAATTATAAGGTGCGTGCAGTCTATAAACACAACAGGTGCAAGATGGATTAGGGCAGTGGTTCTTAAACTGTGGTACGAGTATCACTTGTGGTACGCAGGCTTCCTTCTAGTGCAGGGGTGGCCAACCCTGTTCCTGGAGAGCCACCTTCCTGCAGATTTCAGTTGCTACCCATATCAAACACACCTGAACCAATTATTTAGGACTTGAACACCACGTGATAATTACAGGCAGGTGTGTTTGATATGGGTTGCAACTGGAATCTGCTGGAAGGTGGCTCTCGAGGAACAGGGTTGGCCACCCCTTTTCTAGTGGTACATGGAGATATCAAATATGTCATATGTACTTGCTACATATATTTCAAAATTGATCAAAAATGATTTATATATGAATGTGACATATAATATTATTTATTATATGACATATAGCCTATATTTCTGAGGTCCAGGGAACATTTCCAGGTGTTGATGAATTGGCTACTATATGTTAATACTTTACATTTAAGTACATCACCTTTTTCTTTTTACTTTTTAAGAACATCAAGCTAACATTTTTAACTTTTAAAAGCTCATTTTAATTTAAATGTTGACGTTTTTAGTTTTTTTCTTTGTTTCTTTTTTACATATAAGCACAGTACAGTGTTAACATTCAGACTATTTATGTTTAAAATGGCTGACAATAATAAATATTCTTAATAATAGAAATTAATATGGTGGTATTTGGAGAGACAATTTTTTTCTGAGGTGGAACTTGATGAAAAAAGTTTGAGAACCGCTGGAATGGGGCAAATGGGCATTGAATAAATTTTTAAAATAATAAAAAAGTTCAATCAACCTTAGAAAATTATTTTTTTGACTCATATAATGAATATTAAAATAATTGATTCATTTTTGTATTAATATTAGTGGTCAGAGTCCGCATTAGCTGAGGCACATCGTCAAAGATGCGCTATCTTTATAAATAAACTGCCGATTCGAGTTTAAAACAACTACATTCTCGCAAAAAAAATCTCTTAAAACTTTAATTTGTAACACAACAGAGGAGTATTTTTTGCTTTCACTGGTTATGCTGCAATGGATTCTGGGATACCTGTGCTTTGTAAGTTCGCACAAGTCTCCTCTCGAAGCATCCTTGGTTAAAGGGGCGGAGCAAGTACACATCCGGGAATTTTATCTGTACTTGGCAAGATGTGAACTTTGAATTGGAATAGTACTTCAGCGACAGTTGATGACGTTTCACAAGGTCACAAGAACGCAAGTACAGACAAGAGCGCATATTGATGCGCATACGGGAATTTGTTCGGTAAAAGTGTTTCCAGCATAGTTTGTGCATCTTTTTTTATCGAATAAAAAGTTTATCCTGCTTATGCGCAAATGTTTTTTATGCTTATTTTTAAAATTGATGTGCATGCTGGCGTTTCCATCAATCAATTTTCTTTTATCTGTATATACAAAATGCACATAAAAATCGGTGGATGGAAACCTAACTAATGTCAGTTTCAAAGCAGTGGACCAATCCGAAGAACTCGTAGATGGACAAATTTTGCAAGCTTCTGTTTTACAGTAGCAAATTGGCATGATAACTGATTTAATTGATGTAAACATGTTGCATGGTACTTTAAAAAATAAAAGATAAACAATCCTGAGCACATCTTTAAATGGGAAGATGCATTCTGTATGAATCGCCTCTAAGATCCGATCACCAAAACACTTGTAAAAAAGGATAACTGTAAATCAAATTAATAAAATCTTTTCATTTGACATTTTCTTATCTACAGAGAAAAATCTGGATGATTATTCTGGGTATTACACCTCCAAGAGAAGGCCGAACAATGCTCCGCCCAGCTTTCACTCCTCCCAGCACCACCTACCCTGGGGTGGTGACTTCACACTGGGTGCCCGCGGTACTCTACCGCTAAACACGTCCCGCACGCGCATTCACATGCCAAGCACTACTTCCACCCCCAACCCCTACCCTTTACCCCAGACGCAGTACAACCCTACATTCGACACGATGAGCAAACCCCCTCGCCGGGTGATGTCCCAAGACCAGCTTCTGGCGCTGGGGGAGGGGAACACTCTCTCACGCCTCTCCAAGAACCAGCAGCATCTGTACTACAAACCAATGACCACCAGCAAGAGCTCGAACACCCAGACTCTGCGCAAGTCTCATGAACGCCTCCTGGTGTCCCCGGACCGCCTGGAGGAGCGAATGATGGGTGATTATGGTGGGATGGTGCCAACCATGTCCCGTCTCAGCCACCACCAGAAGGCGCAATCCCAGCAGAACGTGTGTGTGACCCCTTCCCTAGACCGGCATCACATGATCAAAATGAATTCGCACCCTACCTCTGGTCGTGAGCAAGACCATCCTGCCATTCCGTCCGGTCATGGGACTGGGACTTTGGGATGGGGGGAGATCCACGGCTCTGGGGGAGGACCCGGAACAATGGGGCACAACGCACGCCGGATGGCCTTCGCCACGAAACGCCAGAACACCATCGAACAGCTGCACTTTCTCCCTGGAGGTGGCGGAGGAGGAGGAGGTGCAGGACAGGCGTTGAGGACGGGGAGCAAGAACGAAGTGACCGTGTGAGCGCAAAAAGAAAGGAGTTGATGGAAAGATGAGGTGTGACTGCGCAAGCCGAAGGGAAGGAAGATGACGGAGTGCAAAAAAGGCTGAAGACAGAAATGGAGAAGGAAGGGGGTCAGGAATGATGCCCATATGAAGGGGTACACAGTGTATTGCAAGAGAGAGGAGAAAGAGGGATATGAAACTATATCATAAACTTTTCTGTAGATCCCTAAATTGCCAAATTCTTAATCAATAGAAACCTAAAGAGGGGTTTAGGTCGCCTCTGATCTGTGTGTAGCATATAGTATTTCGATCACACCATTCAGGCATGGAGATACAAAAGCTAATAGGTTCATTATTAGAATAGGCCACGTTTTCTCTAGGTTGTACATTCCAGCTAATGTAAAAACCAAGTGGTTCAGATTTGTCTGCTTTTAATCCAATGGCAGAGAATTGAGTCTGATTTTGCCAAATTTCGGGGGTTTCAAACTAAGTGTTACTTTCAAACAAGTGTTGGGGGTGTTTCACACCTTCATCACTAAAACATGGAAACATTGACAAGTATTGGACGAGACTGGAGAGTGTCCAATAGTACACTGAATTACCTCAGAGAAACCGGAATCCAGATTCAAATCGACTTGGGAATTAATGGAGTTTGCCATCAAGTGAAGAAAGTCCTGGTAATTCGTCAACGAGTTGAACTGGAAGGACTCGTCACGCGTTTTGTGACCTGACTCTTTAGTCTGCACTGTTAATGTAAAGTCCAAATGTCATCAGCCATATATTAGAGCTTATTCAAATGGAAATACAACTGAGGAAAACATTGTCATTGGGAGACGGGTGTTATACTGATGATGAGATTTTTCTGCCTCTCATACTGAGACTGTGAATCAAAGTCGACATGAAATACTTTCTTTTTTTGCATTGTGGATAACATTTATAATAGGCTGTCAGATCGGGTCTTGTGATCTGAACTAAAAATGTTCGGAAAGCCAATTCAGCCATTCAAATCTGATAGAAGTCATGCCTCATTCTTGCATGTTTGACCAATCAGAGAACAGCTTCCTATATGACGGCATCAATTGGAGTCGTCACGGTTGTTCTGGTATTTACAAGCGTTTAGAGCTGAGATTTAATCATGAGCATGCAGTATGACAAATAAGACAGAGTAGTCTTCACACTTCATTTGCAACTCGAGCTGTTGTATTAACGGGGGGGGAAACGGGGAAAGGGTTTGCTCATACAGTGAACGTTTTAATCCAAGGGCTATTCTGAAACTCCTTCATGTGTGTCTGTGCTTCCGTGTTCTGACGGCTTTTTATCTTTTCCTGTGACACGGCTGTGCAGGACATTGAGGCTACATGCCAATGAGTGTACAAAACAGAAAAACAGAACAAACTCTGCAAAGCTACTTTGTCACACTAGGATGCATTATTATCTAAGCGACGAGTTAGAGGAGTTAAAAGGTGTCTTGTTTATCTATATTATATTCAAGAAAGATGTCTTTTTAGTTAGCGATTTCTGTGTTTTTCAGCTGTCTCCACATCAAACGGACACTGTTGTGGTGGAATGTCTGAGAAGGACCTGGCTGAGTGAGATTTCTGGGCCATAATATAGTATTTTAGATCACTCTGCAATGTTTAAGCTTTTATTACCTTTAACTGAAGTTAACAATGTTTAAAAAAAAAAACGATTTTAAAAGATAACTGAACCCCGAATGTTCAAATATGTACACTTGCCAATTTATGCGCATAAGTCATCAGTATTCTTCATATTCTTGATTATCCTTTTATTTACTTTTCCTCCGTGTGAATTCAGACATTGTTTTTTATACCTGTTTTCTGTTTGAGTTTCTAGTGGATTCTAACCTTTGTAACTCGACAAAAAAAAAAGCAGATGCAATCATAGTGAAAAGACAAAACGCATGAAGATGTCAAAGCCAGTGTTGATGATGTCATATTGCTGACTTCTGATGTCAAGGTGTGTATGTGTCCAGTTCGTGTGTCTGTATTTGTGTGCTTGTGTGTATTTCAGTGTCTATTTTGGAATGCTTTATCTCGCATTTTATCCGACTCTGTCGGAGAATGTGCATTTCAGAAAACCCAAAATGTAATTTTATTTTTTAAGTAAGTGTCTCTTTGAATGCAAAAACAACTAAAATATTAATAATAATTAAGAATAATAATTTTCCATTGCTGCATTCACCAAAGTTATGGGAAGTAAACAACCACCAGAATAGTTTCTGTATTTATTTTGAGATTTTTTTTTTATTATAATTGTTCTTTTTTTGCCATGATATACATGAAACCTGTTGTAAATTTTCTGGGGGAAATGCCAAAATGCCATGCATAAAATATTTAACAGCAAAAACTTTACGTATTGTTATTTTTAAATAAAATCCTCACCATTAGGTAAAATGCTTTCTGGAGATTGACACTTGTGTTCTTTTTTTCTCCTATAGGAGTTGGTTTTAAATGTTTACATTTCTGAAATATTAGTTTACATCTCAATATGTGGGGACAAGGTGTTGCAATAGGTAGTGTTGTCGCCTCACAGCAAAAAGGTTGCTGGTTCGAGCCCCTGCTGGGTCAGTTTGCCTGTTCTCCCCATGTTCACCTGGGTTTCCTCCGGGTGCTCCGGTTTTTCCCACAAGTCCAAAGACATGCGCTATAGGTGAATTGGGAAGGCTAAATTGTCCGTAGTGTGTGTGTGACCAAATGAATTTTGCAGTGATGGGTTGCAGCTGGAAGGGCCGTGTAAAACATATGCTGGATAAGTTGGCGGTTCATTACGCTGTGGTGACCCCTGATTAATAAAGGGACTAAGCCGAAAATAAATGAATGAATCTCAATATATCATGTGCTAAGTGTTTTTAGCCATGCATGATCGTGTATTAGACAAACTATTTGTTCAGTCTCTGTAAAACAGCCAGTTGTCCTTAAAATCCAACACAGTTGATTAGTTATAAGGATTGAAGATCAGTTTGGATTGTGTGGATGGATTAAAGAAGAGATTTTCCCACCTTTTCCAACTATACATATCTACTTTCTATTATTATAATAACAATATTATTATAATGTTCTTACTTTCCATTATTTTGCATTAATTTCTTCTTCCGTTTTTAGTTTACAACTTGCGTTAACACAGTAGTCAACATTTGAAGGGGATATATAATATCTAAAATAATTTAATCATTTAGAGCATTGCATTTGTTTATTTGTAAAAAATATATATAATTGGTCTGAATAACAAATATTTTCAAATGTTGTGATTGATTTTTATTTTCCCACCAAACATTGCTCTCTTTAATCTTCTGGAGTTAAAGCATTGGTAGGTGTCGTTGCAAACTGAAAATTGAGATGACAAAAAAATCCTCACCATTAGGTAAAATGCTTTCTGGAGATTGACACTTCTGTTCTTTTTCCTCATATAGGAGTGGTTTTACATGTTTACATTTCTAGAATATTAGTTAACATTTCAATATATTATCTGCTGACTATTTTAGTCATGTATGATCTTGTATTAGACAAACTATTGTTACTTGTTTACACGCTGTAAAAGAGCCAGTTCTTTTAAATGCTGATTAGTTATAAGGATTAAAGATAAATTAGGATTGTGTGGATAGTTAAAAGGAGAGAGTTTCTTACTTTTTCCTACTCTAAATATCTACTTTCTATTATTATAATATTCTTAATTTTCATTATTCTTTATTCATTTCTTCTGTTTTTAGTTTTTTTGGTGGTCTACGATGCACTTTAAATATACAGTAGTCAACATATGAAGTGGATATATTATATAAAATAATTGTCATTTAGAGCATTCCATTTATTTATTTGCAGGAAATGATAATTGGGCTGAATAACAAATATTTTCAAATGTTGTGACTGAAAATGGTTATTCCACCAAACATAGCTCACTTTAATCTTCTGGAGTTAAAGCATTGCTATGCAGTGTTGCAAATTGAAAATTAAGATGACAAATTGTCATCTTTATTATTTTTATTTTGACCACCTGTCATTTTATATTCATTTAATGTTAAATTAAAATACATCAGTGTTTTACAAAACAAATTAAACTGACTTTTATTCAAACAGGGAGCTATAAATTGCACATTTAAAGAACCCATTTTTCAAGTTGTCTCTTTAAAAGATATATATTTTTAATAATATTATATCCTTTTGTTTAACTGTTAGCGTTTTCTATTGGTGTGGTGCAAGTTATCCCTTTAAGTGATGTTTACATTTCTGAAATACTAATTTACATCTCAATATATTATGTGCTGAGTGTTTTTAGTCATGCATGATCTTGTGTTAGACAAACTATTTGTTTACTCTCTGTAAAACAGCCAGTTGTCTTTCAAATGCAACTCAGCTTATTAGTTATAAGGATTAAAGTTAAATTAGGATTGTGTGGATAGATAAAAGGAGGGATTTCCCACAATTTCCTAGTAAAAATATCTACTTTCCTGTTATTGTAATAACAATATTATTATAATATTCTTTTCATTATTCTTCATTCATTTCTTCTGTTTTTTTTTAGTTGTTTGATGGTCTGCAATTTACTTTAATATATACAGTAGTCAACATTTGAAGTGGATTTAATATATAAAATAATTGTCATTAAGAGCATTCCATTTATTGATTAGCAGGACATTATAATTGGGCTGAATAACAAATATTTAAAAATGTTGTGACTGAAGATGGTTATTCCATCTAGCATGCTTAATGTAATCTTCTGAAGTTGGTATGCAGTGTTGCAAATTGAAAATTAAGATGACAAATTTTATATTCATTTTATTATAAATTTGCATACATAATTAACAGAACAAATTAAAATTACGTTTTATTCAAACAGGGAACTATAAATTGTAAATCCAGAAAAAAACTAATTTTCAAATTGTCTTAATTTTTTTAAAGATATAAAATATATTTATAATAGAATATATATTATTATTCATATTATATACTATTCTTTAACTGCAGCATTTTCTATTGGTGTGGTGCCAAAGACCACTTTAAATGATATCAAATGATTCCCTAGCAATATCATTTGCATTCTTAAATGACTGTAATTATCGATCCAAACCAGGACGTTTGATGTTCTTGAATGGTTCCTGAGGGACACGGACGAGGCACCATCATCACCGGCATTCGCCATTTTGAGGGGCAGGGTGGGCGAGGACCTTATGTTCGGGTAGGGTGGGGGGAGACGGCGGCGGCATGTTGGTAAAATGGCTTCAGAGAGGTGCTGTGCTGTGCCCTGCATCCATTCCTCAGTAGATGTGCTGCATAAAAATTCCCCCGCTCTCTCTGTCAGCCGCTCACAAAGTGAAATAATTGTTCTAATGACTCCGGCTCGCATATGTGCAGAACAGCTGTTTTGTCTCAGTCAGTGGGAAGTGATGTTTTGAGTCTCGCGCGGGCAGCTCGCGAAGTGTGTGCGCCTTCACAATGTGTTACTACGTCACGCAACACTGGAATATTTAAAACGCGCCACGCGACTTTTGTTTTTGTTTTGTTTTTTGGCGCCGTTTTATGACATTTGGGGACTGTAGATGCAACGGGCTTCGTTATAATTACACTCAATTTCCCGATCACGTGTTCTTGCTAAACTAAAGCACATTATAAAGTAAAATAAACCCATAACTGAGGTGAAAAGGCCCTTTTCTTCTCACTGCATCGCGTACTGCTTTTTGCAGAGCGCTAACCAGAACAATGTCGGATGCTTTAACACGTAACACCACCCGGAACTTGTATCACTGCCCGGAAACGACCACTGTGAGGCGAACAGAAGTACCCGAAGGAAGACGGGGGCACTAAAAATTGACACGGGGCGGAAAATATTTGGCCGACCATAATCCGCAAAAACTAAAGCGGAAAACGGACTGTGAAGGGCGGTTTCGCTCGAAGTCTTTCACCGCGAGTGTTATTGCGCGAGCCCGAACGTTAGCGAGCGCGGCCAGCGGAAACTGGGGTTTGTTTAACGGATCGAAAGCGATGGAGAGGCCTGCGAGAGTGTTTTTCCACGGGATGAGGAAAAATGACCTGCTAACCTGAAATCGGAAACCGCCTTTGTGCACATCTAGGCTTTCGGCGCCCTTTTCAGCATTATTATTTTCACGCTTTGCTCTTCAAGAGGACTTTCTCCGCGCACGAGCAGGTGGGACAGCAGAGCTTTTGAATGCCTTCTGTTGCAGTGTAAAAGGGTACGACGTCTTTATTTAGCTAACGTTAGCTATGAGGCTAGCAGAGTTGAAGTGGGCTTATAGCCTGCATTCATCTGACGGGCTGTCTGCACTTTACTTGTTTATGTTTTTCTGTCATGTTGTTGATTCTTACGCAACTGTTAGCATACGAACATTTTAGCTTATTTAACTACATGCTAACTCCAAGTTCTTTGTCATGTAACAAGTCTATTTTTGCTCTCATTTATTACATTGAAACTTTTTTTGCTGTTTCACAGAGGGATGTGACTGGAAAAGGTATTTCGGCTCTCCCCCTCTCCCTCATCCCCTTTACGGTCAGCTTATCCCGGAGATCAATCCGCGCTTTTCTTTCAACATTTTTCGGTAAGTTTCTTTTCCATTATACAATGTGTTTTGAGTTATAGATGTATATGTATTTGTTGACGGGGTGTCTCCATTGATGAGAATTTTTCTTTTTTCCCCCTTCGTTACAATATTTTTTTTATACAATATTTGTGTATATACATTAGCTTAGTCAGTACTGAAGCCAAATCTGGAGCTTATCTAACAAAATAACCTACGATAACGTAGGTTATTTTGTTTTGTTTTTGTTTTTTATTCCAAAAACAAAAACACCCAAATTTATGTTATAAAATATTAAATACAAATTTAAAAACAAGGAAAAATCAAGAGAAACAAAAAATAGAAAATTTTAATTTTGTAGGTTGCAGTGTTTTTTTTTGTGCAATATTTTGCTTGAATTTAATTGTATTATCTTTAAATTTTTAAATATGTTTGATGAATAAAATATGGTGAATAATATATATATATATATATATATATATATATATATATATATATATATATATATATATATTAGCATCAATATCGCAATGTGCACATCCGCAATGGTCAAATCACAGGATCTGCTATGTCAAATCAAAGATTATACAGTGTTGTTTATTTGACATATTGTTTAATTTGTGACCCTGAATACTCACAGAAAATGAACAAAAACATAAAGCATTTATTTCATTTGTAACTTCGCTTTACTGTATTTGTCATTGCTTGCGATTTGTTTTATTACATTGTATGCAGATGCGCTCCACTACAAAATCATTCTATTATTGTCCTAAAATTATTACATAATATATGTAAATAAATAACAAAATTCTATAATTATTCTTTTTTTTTTAAAATAAAACTATTAATTTCATCTGTTATTTTTATACTTAGTATCACAATATGTAGAGCTGGAAAAAATATTGCAATGTCAGTTTTTTACAATATTGTGCAGCCCTTATATATATATAATTGTATTTATTTTGGTTAGGTTGAATTCAGTTGATTGACTCACTTGACATCTATTTGTTTATTCAACAAATAGAGTGCTAAATAAGTGTGATTTTTGCCACATTTAGTTTGAGTAACAACCATTGATCCTTCAAATAGTTTCAAGCTCAGTTACTTTTGACAAGATTTGTGCAGATAAATTGATTTGATTTAGACTAATATCTTATGTATTTATAACATGTGCAATTTGCATTGAGAAATATTGAGCAGCATTTGACATCCTTTAGTTTGTTTAACATAAAATGACAAGAATGGTTTTAGCCACATTTTGTTTGCTTTGATTAAACGTGTTTTTTTGGACTAGGGCTGCACAATATATCATTTCAGCATCAATATCGCAATGTGCACATCCGCAATAGTCAAATCACAGGATCTGCTATGTCAAATCAGGATTATAATAGAGTAGTCATTAAAAACAAACATGATTGTAGAGTAATTGCAAAGTTTAACCATAATGTTTCCAAAAACGATATCTTTGCATGTGATTGTGTATGCATTTTAAGCCAGCGTAAAGCGTTCAGGCACAGAAAATTAAAATTTTAGTAACTTCAAGAAACATTAGTTGTATTTGTGCAGTATATATGCAATAAAGATTATTCAGTGTTATTTATTTTACATTACTAAATCAATTTGTGACCCAGAATACTGTTAGACTCATAGAAAATAAACAAAAACAAAGCATTTGTTTCATTTGTAACTTCCCTTTACTGTATATATCATTACATTTTCATTCTACTATTGTCCTAAATTTAATACATTATGTATGTAAATAACAAAATCCTAAAATTATTTATTCTTTTCGAGTAAAGCTAGTAATTTTACACTCAGCATCGCAATATGAATAGCAAAACCAAAATAAATGCAATTATATATATATATATATATATATATATATATATATATATATATATATATATATATATATATATATATATAATTGCATTTATTTTGGTTAGGTTAAATTCAGTTGATTGGCTCACTTGACATCAATTTGTTTATTCAACAAATAGATTGCTATACAAGTGTGAATTTTGCCACATTTAATTTGAGTAACAACCATTAATCCTTCAAATAGTTTCAAACTCAGATACTTTTAATGAGACTTGTGCAGATAAATTGATTTGATTTATTCAATTTTTTTTTTTTATATTTATATATAACATGTGCAGTTTGAATAAAAAATTAAGCAACATTTGACAGTCTTTACTTTGTTTAACAAGAAACAACAAGAGTGGTTTTGGCCACATTTTGTCTACATTGAATAAACGTGTTTGATTTGGTCTAAGGCTGCACAATACATCATTTCAGCATAGATATCGCAATGAGATCATTTGCAATAGTCACATCATGAGTATGCGCAATGTTGAGTCTGGATTCTTATTTATCATTTTGCAAGTGTTATTTGATGCCTGTGAATGTGTGAGGGGTTTTAAAAGTATTCAGGCATAAGAAATTGTACTATTTGTATCTCTGAAAAGTTAAAAAAATTATTTTTATTTATTGATTTTTTTTTTTAACAAAGACTATGCAGTATTATTTTACATTTAATTATTCAATTACTGTATAACTAAATACATTTAGACTCCTCGGAAAACAATAAGACACTCTTTATTTATGTAGTATCTGTCTTTATTGTATATTTTATGCACTCCCCTACAGAATCATTCTAATCAGTCTAAAATTATCAATTCTTTCCAAACAGTTGTTCAACACATGTAGTGAAATTGTATTCAAATTGCAATATATATCGCAGAAAAAAAAAATATTGCAATGTTAGATTTTTCCAATATTATGTAGCCCTAATGTAGGTAATGTAGACAGATTAACAGATTTGTTAAAAAAAAAAAATTCATACTTTTATTTTTTTTTAATAGTGCTTTTGTTTTATTTTTGTATTTATTTAGCTGTCTTTTAAAAACATATTCCTGTGATACATTTATTTAAATAAATCTGTTCATGTTTGGCATCTATTTGTTTAACATATCAATTATTTTTTTAAATTTGTTTACATCAAGTGAAACAATCGCTGACAATTTAAATGCCTCAATCTCATATTTTTGACAGATTTAAGGATTTGATTTGTACAGATTCTAAAGTGATCCATTAATTTGTTTGCAAATACATTTTTTGGGCTTATGGTAGCTTTTACCTTACTATGCAGTTAATATTCAGTATCATCTTTCATCAAAATGCAATACACAACAAGTACAGATTATTCAACAAAACATACAATTGTAAGGGCTTTCAAAAATAATTTATATATGTTGCATGTTGTTTAATAATGACAGTGTGATGCACACATGTCGATTTATTTTATTTAAATCTGATTGCATATGTCAAATAATCAAATAATTGCTTACAAATTTTTTGTAGCATGTTTGTCTTTACAAGCTTCCATGTATTAAAACATGATTCCTAGTTTATATGAGTTCATCTCAGACCTAGATAGACTTGATATCCTCATACAGATATTATTAACCTTGTAACATGTCATTTGGCTTATCCCTCAGACGTCAGGCATTGTGGTTAATCTCAGTGTTACTATACTGTAGTGTTGATGTTATAATATATTTTCAGTAGCTGTTATCTGAAATAAAAGGGCTCAATTGTAATTAAAATACTACAATAAAACCGAATGCTTTTGCTTGTATTTATTTAAATGAAGTGTCATTTTTATAATTGGTTAATTTTTATTAGTATTTGACTAACTGATTGTCATTGCCTGCAACCAATATTCTATAATTGCAATTAGTTTACTTTTTTGGAAGGGCTTATTAGTACAAGTTTGCATATTTAAGTTACAATTAGGTCTTTTGTGACCTATTTGTTCATATTATCTGGACTTTAGGCATTTTTTTTTTGCCAAAAAAAAACAGGAAAAACTAAATTGTGAACTATTTTTTAATATTTTTCAATCTATTGTATTCTATTTTATTTATTATTACATTTTAAAATAGCTGCTTCATTTTGAAATGCAATTTATTATTGTGACAGCTGAATTCTCAACAACCTTTTGTCTTATCTTCAGTTTCACATGATTCTAAGAAAGCTTCATACTTTTTTCAGCATGTAATAGAAAAGAACAGAATATTTAAAGGTCATCTTTAAATAAATATAAAAGTTATTATATGATTTATGATACATGAATGTTTGCATGTCACAGTTTGGAATGCAATTTGACTATATATAATATGAAAAAAAAAAAAAAAGTCTTTCATTTCATATTATGATCTTTTATATCAGAAATACATTGTTTATGGTAATACCTATTCATAATTTGAGCACAATATTACACGCTATTACAGGAAGGCAGACAGAAACATGAATAACAGCATCGTGAGAAAGTTGCAATCTTGAAAGTGCAACGTTTACATTGTACATATTCTATTTTTAGCTCTATTTTTTTATGTTAGCTCTATTATTTTTATTTTATTTGTAATCATTAGTTTCTCAAACATTTGCCCTGAAGTTTTAAATAAATTCAGAACTATCATCATATTCAAAATATATTTACTGTAAAATGTAAATAAGGAATAGTTCTTTACATGTGGTCTATATATATATATATATATATATATATATATATATATATATATATATATATATATATATATATATGAAGAGTTTCTTTGCAAAACGAGATATATCCATTTTGAGAAATGTTGGTTGTATGACATTATTATTTAAGACATCAACAGTCAAGTTCATTCACAATTTTTATACATTACACTATTACTTGAGCTCAGTGAAGGCCGGAAACACTATTTTCAAATCCAAGATATTTTTTACTTAACTTTGTCCATAAATAGTTAATAAATGAGTCAAAAACCATGCCAAAATGTAACATATTTATCTTAACATTGTCAAACATCTTAAATTGGTTTTATATTCAGGTTGTTTCTTTGTAATTATATCAATAGACAAAAACTATCATTAAATAAATGTAGCAGAAAATAATACATTTGTTTTTTCAGTATTTCAGACACAGGAATGTGCTTCATTTATGATCATGTGTCTGTTATTAGCATGGTAACTATCCAATATAATTGCATTTTCATGTTATTATACTAGAAATGTAGATTAAGGTTTGTGGTTTTGCAGTTTTTTTAACATGTCTATTTAGAGCAAATGAGAGATGTGTGCATTGAGCGGTTATTAATATTGTTGTTCTGCTATATCTGTGAAAGTTTGCCTCATTAAAAAACTGTGCACTACATTATTAAAATGTAAATATTTTTAAGTATATTATTATTACTACTATTATTATTTATATTTTTTGTTACTTGTGGTTTTTTTATTCATTTTTAAATCATTAGTTTTTTGTTAAAAAAAACTCACCAGAATTAGCACTGTAGTGTGTATTTAAAGGATTGCGTTTAATAAATATAAAAGTGATCTGCAGTTTCACACACATAGATGCTATAGATGTTAATGATTAAAAATAAAATCTGTTCAAAATCAGCCAATAATTCGAATTTGAGTATTGGAACTGTATTGTTATGAAAGAAAATGGTGTCAGTTGTCATTTAGTATCAAAGAAACAGAAACTTTAACATTTTAGAATGCTTAATTCTTTCCTGTATGATTTTTCTTCAAAATTCTGTTATGTTTCTTGTCCTAAGGATTGTTCTGTGACATAATGATTGTTCATTCAGTAGATTATTGGAATGTTATTTTGAAATTGTCTTGAAATTTTCTTACTGGTTTTTTTTTTATCTCTCTTTTTTTAAGGACTGACAGGGTGCTCGCTGCAGAGAAAGAAGGAACCTCTTGGTCATACCACTGTGCTTTGTTCATGGTCTTCCAGCTTAGGAATTAAAGACAGAGGTTGGATACACCCTGTGGACTATCTGACTTTTGACTTCTTGATCTGAACGATTGGCTCATCAAAACCTCCTTTTTTAATGAAGAATTTTTTCTGAGAAAAAAAAAAAAACTGGGACCATTTTATTCAGAACTTCTCAAAAGGAATATACCAATAACAAGACAGAAAGACATTCCCTCGTCACTTCAATTTTAACTGGCTTTCAACACTAAGTGTTTCGCTTTTTAGTGCTAAACACATTTTGTGATGCAATTTTCATAAGGTATTAGCAGATATGTTTTTATCGTTTAAACTTTAGACAGTAATTTTGAAAGACTAACGCAAACGTGTTAATTGCATGATATTGTAAACCAACTTTTACTTTTTTCTTTTTCTTTTTTTTCTTATTTATAGATGATAATTTAATCCAAGACTTCCAGAGTTTTATCAGATGTAGTGGCCCACAACTCTAGCCAAAACTCTGTTTGTATGGGATGAACAGTCACAGCATCAGACAAATTAATCTCACACAGACATTTGTTTTTAAAACTGGAGCTGCTAGCAGATTAATTTAAAGCTTTATATTGATGATTAGTGGCCCTTGTGCCAGTTTTATTTTTTTTGCATATATTTTAGGCTAGATTGCATTGTCCACTTACCTGCAGTATCAACTGAACAGGGGAAAAAAATCTTAGGAACACCCCTCAACAGTGAGAGGGAGATGTTCCAGTTTGGAAAATACCCTATGGACATTTTAGAAATGCTCAGTGGACACCAGGCACACCAGTTCAAAGGACTGGGGCTGGAAAGACAACTGCAGCACCAACAACAAGTCCAACTTCAGCACCAGCAGCAGCTTCAACAGCAGCAGCAACAACAAAGTGAGGCATCCAGTGGCCTCCTGTCTGGGCTTGGACTTGGTTCACTTCAAGGATCTAGGAGTAATGCATTTGCAGATTCATCATCCCTATTTGCCAAAATGAGTGCTCCCCCTCCACCTCTTCCCCAACAAACCCAGTCCTCGTCCTCACAAAGCACACGCAAATCAAGCAAGATGAGCAGCAGCAGTGGAAGTGGTAGTTCTGCCTCTGGCTATCCGCAGTTCCTACGCACATTTCACCCTGCTGAGGCTGCGCTAGCTCAGGAGCAGCTCCACTCAGGAATGGGGCGTTTTGATTTTGCTGGAGGAAGTACTGGAGGAGGTTCTGGGGTTATTGGAGGAGTTGTAACGTCTGCACCACCACCACCACCCCTGCACCCTGGCCTCTCTGTTCCTCAGCCATCCCCTGGCCCTTCCTCTTCATCACCGTCCCCTTCAAGTTCAACCACCACTTCAAATAATCCCCCCAGCAGTAGCAGCTCAGTGGCTGGACTAGTTGGAGCCCAATCTGATGCAAGAAGTTTACACCAGCAGTTCAGTTGCATGCTTGCTGCAAACCAATATCTTTTTTCTGGAGTGCCCACAAATGCCAGTTTAGAACAGTTTCTAGTGCAGCAGGGTCCCCATAATCATCTTGGTCTTGCTGATTCAAATACAGGTCTGGCTCCTCCTCCAGCCCTTCATCCTTCCCACACTCATGGCCATCCAACTCCCCAGCCCCAACAACAGCAGCAGCAGCTGCCACCTCATGCTTTGTCTCACCCTCACAGCCATGCCCATCCACACCACCCTCTACACCCTGCCCCCCAACCATCACCTCTTGGTGGTTTCGATTTTCAAGGTATTCCCGTGCTTTCATCTAATCAACTGGCTTCCCTAATGCAACAAGAAGCAGGCCTGCCTTTGCCACTCCCCCTCCATCTCTCTGTACCGAAAGATGATGGGAAAGGAGATAGTGGATCTGGGGCTGGAGGAAGTGGAGGTAGTGGCAGCAGGAGAAAGAAAGCCATGGCTGGCTACCTGCCCCAGAGGAAGACAGATGGTAGCAGTAGCAACAGCACAAGCAGTGCTAACTGCCATGGCTCTGGGGCACATGGTCATGATGGGTCCTCTGGTCTTGTGGGAGGAGGTGGAGGGGTTGGAATGAGGGGTCTTGGTGGTGACCCTTCCTCCATCCTCTCTTCGTCAACACCGTCCTCCTCTTCTTCAACTGTCTCCTCCTCTTCTTCCTCTGCCCCATCTTCAAACTCTGCCTCTGTGCTTGTATCAAATATCTCTCAAAACCCCAAGCCCGAAAACCAGCAATCAATGACTCCCAATATCACACAGACTGAGCAAGAGGCTCTGTTTCATTGTGGAGAGTGTGGAAAGTCTTTTGGCCACCTCCCAACCCTTCGCCGACACATACGCTGCCATGAAGACGGCGGTGGTCAAAACAGCAGCACAAACACAAATCATCAACATCAGTCAGATCTCCCGCACTCAACACAAGATGGAATTTCTCAAAATGCACACCACCATGAGAATCCAGACCCCATGTCTTCCACTTGCTCAAGTCCAGATAAGTCATACTGTTGCAATGAATGTGGAAAGGGGTTCAAAAAGAGAGGACACCTCCTTCAGCATGGTGTCATCCACTCTGGAGATCGTCCGTATGCCTGCACTGTCTGTGAACGTTCATTCAACCGAAGAGAGTCTCTCACTCGACATGAGAAAATTCATGAAGAGAAACCCTACCGCTGCCCTGCTTGTGGCCGCTGCTTTAGAGAGAGCACTTCTTTGCTTAACCATGCTGCATCTGGTAACTGTGGAAAGCCTGGGAGGAGATCTAGAAGCAGTGATGGTAGCTCAATAGGTTCAGTGGATGGCAAAGTTGAAACCGATTTTCCTGGTGGACAGATTACTGACACAAAAGATTTGGTATTTTGCAAGAATGAGGATAGCACAGCAGGGATGTCTTGTGACAGTCTATATTCGCAGGCAAGAAATGCTAATCAAAACCCTATTGGCAAACCTAAAGAAGAGTATAATCCTGAGTATTCAAGAGATCCTTACCAAACGTCATACAGGGTCGATGACTACCGTCGACAACAGGGCAACCCAGCATCCTACTCTGGAGATTCCTGTAGTAACAGCATGTCAAGTCCAGCCCTCAGAAAAGCTCCTTTAGCCCCAACACTTCACCCACACCCTCAAAATCAGACGCACCATCACCAACCGCAGTCTCATCTTCCTCTCTCCTCTCTTTTGGATGACTCTGAAGATGAAGTCACAAGTAGTGCCATGTCCGCAATTGCTGCAGCTGCTGCCGCCTCTGTCTTGCCTGCTGAAATGAACAATAATGGTGGACGAGAGGAACGGAGAGACATCATTGGAGGCCTGTTAGGAGGCCTTGGCTTCGGCTCTATGGGTGCCTCTTCATCAACATCTGCAGGAAATGGTGGCAATGAAGAATGCCTGAGTGGTTCAATGATACCTTTATCTCACCCGACCCAACAGCAGCCTAATTCACAGAATGCCAACAATCCTAATGCCAAACCCAAACGGCCGCGGAAGCCCAGACAGAAAAGAGAGCCGAGACCTCCAGGAGCTCCAGGAGAAGTAGTGAAACGTCGGAGAAGCAGTCAGGGTGGTGCTGCTGGAGATGGTTCCGACAGGCCTTATTTATGCACTGTTTGTGGAAGGGGCTTTAGCAGACGGGAGACATTACGTCGACATGAACGTGTGCATACAGGGGAAAAGCCATTTCATTGTGACATCTGTGGCAAAGACTTCCGAGAGCCGTTTCACCTTACCAAACATCAGACTGTTCACTCTGGGGAAAAGAATTACAAATGCACGCTCTGTGGAAAAGATTTTGGATATGCTCAGAGTCTGAAAAGGCATGAAAAATTGCATCTAAGGGGAGATTTCAAGCCAAGGCGGAGTAAAACCAAATCTGCTGCAAATCAAGGGGTGCCCGCTAATCAAGAACAAACTGATCAAACCAATCAAAATAATCAATCCAACCCTGGCGCTTATTACTCCTATTCTCAGGATAAAGTTCAAGGATCTAATGCGAGCACAAGCAACCAACCCCCTCCAAAGCTATATACATGTGAGATTTGCTGGAAATCTTTCCGCCATCACTTCCATTTGACTGCCCATCACCAAGCCATTCATGAACATGGTGGGGAGAAACTGTTTTCATGCGAAGTGTGTGGAAAAGCGTTTTCATACTCTAACAGCCTGACCAGACATAGATTATCTCAACATGGTTTGACTCGTGCTGGGCCAACAACACAACCAACAGGAAACGATTCTATTGGAACTGCCTCGTCTGTCTCGGAGAGCGAGGCTGCAACCAATGCACTCCTTCATATATCACCTGAAAGTGGAAGTCATGGAGTACAACAGCCCCATTCAACGATTGCTCACACGCAGCATCCTCAGCCTGCTGGATATTCACCACTCTTCTACACTCCAGAGTCAGGACATCACAGTTCAAATCAAGTCACTTCACACCCCCAACATCTGCACTACTCAAACCCCACGATGGGTCCCCTCCAGCTTCAGCAGCCAATCAGTGGGAAGCAGTTAATTTATTCAGGGGTTCCAAGTAACACACTTCATTCCACTCCACCTCATATCCACATCTCTCCACCCCAGCACTCGCAACACCACCAGCAACAGCATCCTTTTTTATTGCAGTCTCCACATCTACAGAGCCCGCAGCCCCAGGGGGATGCTACCCAAAGGAAGAAAAAAAAAAAAAAGAAAAAATATAAACTGCCGTTGATAACTGGATTCAGTGCTTATGAAATTGCCAGGAGGCAAATGTATTTAAAACGGAAGAAGTGCAGGCTTCAGCAGCAGCTAAAACGGAAGAAGTGGATGGCTCAGCTGAAATGGGCCAAGTTTACTGGAGGAGGGCTTGGCTTAAATGTAGGCGGAGGCACATGGCGTGTGGGGAGGTTAAGGTTCAGAGGCCTTCGCTCTCTCATCGTGCCCTTGAAGTCATATACTTGCCCTGTTTGTCCCTTCACCACTTTTTCAAGCCGCATAAGTCTTTCGGTGCACCGAGTAACAAGGCACCCACCAAGAAAACATGGTCGCCATAATCGCCTCCGATGCACAGTCTGTGGAAAACGTTCTCGAAGGCTACTGACGGCTCTCTGTCATCGGGCCCAGCATCTCTCTCAAGGGGGGTTCTCTTGCTCACGATGTCCCTCACGATTCTGGAACGGCACTCTCCTACAGCGCCACAAATTTGCTTGTCGTCGTGTCAGTAGAGGAATCAGAATGTCAATAAAGGCGACGTATCTGGTGAAAACAGAGGGCCAGACTGAAAGATCAACAGTTGTGACAGGATACAGGCACTGAGCAAACTGACATCAAAACAGAAATTGTACAAGGCCTTAATAACTGAACTCTTCAAGGCAAGAGCAGGCACATAGGACTTTGATGGAAATCACCACAGATTCAACTCCTTGAACACGTGGTCAAACTATAAGCAAGGGAGTGCCTGGTTTCTCCAAAACAAGCCTGTACCTAAAGAACCATCCATTATAGACATGGATCTCTAACACGGTTTCTCCAAAGGGGAAGAATATTCTAGATTATGGAACTGTTTTTGGTAGCACCTTTGTTGTAATGGTAGCATCTCTATCCTCTAAAAAAAAATGCATTCATTATGTATTTTCGTAACTTTATTTGTGCTGCAATGATGGATGCATACCAGTGAAAGTGGACTAATTTGAACAGTAACAATCTATTCTCTAAACTAGTTTCCCCACAGTACTCAAGAGTTTAACGGTATAGCCTTTGTTTACTCTCAAATATACGTAGTTTATTTTAATTTTATTTTTTGTTCATTGTGGTGTTGTTTTGTTCCCATTTCGCTGTCTCCATGTTAAAATGCAAATGTTTGACCTGGAAAACTGAAAGTTACTGGTTTTGGGAAAGGGGATCAAGTGCATAGTGTGTATTCCCTATGAACAACCTCAATTCTGACACTCCATGATGAATTCAAGTGTCTCACAGAGGGACTCGCTGCAGTGAAACTGTCGAAACGTGCAAAATATTCTGCAGAGCTGATATGTAGGGGACAGAATGGTGTTACTAATGCCATGTTCCTGTGTTCAATGTCATCTGTTTTTTAAAGAAATATGTAAAGAAATCTTTGCAGGTGTTTCTATGGCAAGTGTTAATGTCTTTGGTTGCGAGATTGGCTAGCGGGAGAGAGGAATAGCAAGTCTGTTCTGTACAATGCGTATTATATTTTATTATGTAACAGTTGTGTTCTTTCTTTTTTTATTATTATTCAAAGTATAAGTTTTTTTTTTAATCATTTTTACTATTTTAGGGGTGGGAGGGTATGTGGCAGGGTCTGTCAATGTAAGATGTGGGGAATATATGTATCGGTGTGACTTTTGTTCCCTGCCCCTTTGATCTGTTTAACCCAAACCACAGTTTAGCCCAGCTTTCCCAACACTATTGTATTCATTCTCGATACTTTACTTAGCTCTACTGTTCCAATGTTTTCCTCAGTAAACTAAAATACAAAATATAAATACTAAACTGTTTTCTTTTTCTGAGTCAACAGAGATGTTGAGTTTCTCAGAAAGCAAATAAAAGATAGAAAATGTACAGTTCTTTTGGTTGTTGAAGTAATTTGTGTGTTCTTCCGAATGTTTACGAGATGCAGAACCGTTTTTGTGGTGGCGAGCACATCGGGGTAATTGGATATTTATGGCATGTAAGTTAAATGATTTATAAACATCAAATGAGAGGATACGGCCAGGTGTTACGCACCTGGTGCTGTGGTGCAGAGTTCTGCAGGATGGGGCTGTTTACAGCTCACATGTGTTGGCACATGCCCTATGCAGTGCCATGCGCTATTAGAAGTGGAGGGAAGAATGCCCTTAAGGGTACTCTTGGTTTTGCCTCTTCTCTCTCTCCCTCTCTTGATTTTAGAGGAACACTACCGTCTGTTCACTTAGCTATGTCTATAAGCCAAAGTGTAATGAGTTCAACACAGGACATCATCTCCCATTCCCTTGGTTTGTAGTTCACATAAAGTCCTCTAGATGGCAGTGGTACTCTGTATGCCATCAACTCGATTTGCATCGCAAGACGTGCATAGTGCAGATGCACACACACACACAATACAAGTGATTCTGGTGTTTGATTGTTCAGACAGGATCGAACATGTTTTTGTTTTCGAGTTTAAAGCTGCTGTATGTTGTTTTATTCTATATACAGGATTTACAAGTTGTAATGTCCAAAAATGTCTTGGACAAAGTAAGTGAAGGACCATTTTTAGTTGTGGTCTTTTAGTGTTTCGAGTCATGGTCCCTATTTTAGTGTAGTAAATCTTGCAAATAAGCCAGTGTGAAAGCAGTTGAGTTTCTTAAATTGAGTGGCTAAAACCTGAAAGATTGATATCTGCTCTTTAAATGGAAATCCTCTTTTATTTTTAAAAACTCAGAGTAGAAATCAAATTCTCATATCTTTTTACAAAAATAAACGCCTTTATATTTGTCATTTAAAACTATGTGTACATGATCTTTTTTATTTTGAAATGCAGTAAGCATTTCTTTAAAATTCAAATAAAATAAATATTTATAATAATATAATCTATAATATTTATTTAAAATAATTATTAAATAAGACTACGTAAGAGTATGTCTGTTTACATGACAATAATATGCCTAAAAACAGTTTTGTTTTTTGCTATTCTCTTTTATTAAACCCACATCTGACAGTGTTGTGAATCCTTTTCATATGGATCTGTGAAACTGTCCAAAATCACTGTATTCTGCACATATATCCTTGTAGTCGATCACTTTTGTTTTGGTTATGCAAATAATGCATATCACCTTTTCACAAAATTGCACTTTTAATTCTATTTGCAAATCAAGTTTGCAATTTCAGGCCCCCAAATATTTGTTTTGGTAAATTAAACATTCTTCATTTGGCTGTGTAAATACACATGCAGTTTTAGTTTAGGATAGTTTTATTTTACAGCCTGCATTCATTCATTCATTTTCTTGTCGGCTTAGTCCCTTTATTAATCTGGGGTCGCCACAGCGGAATGAACCGCCAACTTATCCAGCAAGTTTTTACGCAGCAGATGCCCTTCCAGCCGCAACCCATCTCTGGGAAACAGCCTACATAATTAATTAAATTGTTTCATTGTTTCCATACAAATGAAGCTCAGATTCACATTTGAAATAATGCATCAGTTATGACACTAAAATGCAGTCTGTCTGCACAAATATCCTTGTAGGCGATCACTTTTGTTTTGGTTATGCATATAATGTTACCTTTTCACAAAATTGCACTTTTAATCCTGTTTGCAAAAGACATTTGCGATTTTAAGGCTCCAAAACTTTTTGATAAATTAATAACCAAACATTCTACATTTGGCTGTGTATAAATACCGTATGCAGTTTTTGTTTAGGATAACTGTATTTTTCAGCTTAACTCATCAAATTGGTAAATTAATGAAATACCTACATATTTTTTTCTTAAGATAATTTGATCTTAAAAGATTTCTTGAAAGTGCATTGCAGCTTGTCTTTCTATGCAAATGAAGATCAGACTTTTGAAATGATGCACAGTAAATGCATCAGTTATGCACGGTAAAATGCAGTCTGTCTGCACAAATTTACACAGCAATCCCTGTGGATGGAACCTTCATTGTATTTGTTTTCATTTAAATCACTGTATTCTGCACATTCACTCACCAGCCACTTCATTAGGTACACCTGTCCAACTGCTTGTTAATGCAAATTTCTAATTGGCCAATCACATGACAGCAACTCACCGCATTTAGGCATGTAGACATGGTCAAGACGATCTGCTGCAGTTCAAACCGAGCATCAGAATGGGGAAGAAAGCTGATTTAAGTGATTTTGAATGGGGCACAGTTGTTTGTACCAGAAGGGCTGGTCTAAGTATTTAAGAAACTGCTCATCTTCTGGGATTTTTACGCATGACCATCTCTAGGGTTTACAGAGAATGGTCTGAAAAAGAGAAAATATCAGGTAAGTGGCAGTTCTGTGTGCACAAATGCATTGTTGATGCCAGAAGTCAGAGGAGAATGGCCAGACTAGTTCCAGCTTATAGAAAGGAAACAGAAACAGTAACGCAAATAACCACCCGTTACAACCAAGGTATGCAGAAGAGCATCTCCGCACTGCATGTTGAACCTTGAGACAGATGGGCTACAGCAGGGGAAGACCACACCGGGTACCACTCCTGTCAGCTAAGAACAGGAAACTGAGGCTACAGTTCACACAGGCTCACCAAAATTGGACATTAGAAGATTAGAAAAACGTTGCCTGGTATGATGAGTCTCGATTTCTGTTGTAAAATTCGGATGGTGGGGTCAGAATTTGCTATCAACAACATGAAAGCATCCATGTATCCTACCTTGTATCAACATTTCAGGCTGGTGGTAGTGTAATAGTGTGGGGGATATTTTCTTGGCACGCTTTGGGCCCATTAGTACCAATTGAGCATCGTGTCAATACCACAGCCTACCTGAATATTGTTGCTGACCATGTCCATTCACTTATGACCACAGTGCACTCATTTTCTGAAGGCTACTTCCAGCAGGATAATGCGCTGTCATAAAGTGCAAATCATCTCAGACTGGTTTCTTGAACATGATAATGAGTTCACTGTACTCAAATGGCCTCCACAGTCACCAGAGCTCCATGCAATAGAGTACATTTGGAATGTGGTGGAATGGGAGATTCACATCATGGATGTGCAGTGAAATCTGCAGCAACTGTGTAATGCTATCATGTCAATATGGACCAAAATCTCTGAGGAATATTTCCAGTACCTTGTTGAGTCTACGCCATAAAGGATTAGGGCAGTTCTGAAGGCAAAATGAGATCCAACCCGGTACACGTAGGGTGTACCTAATAAAGTGGCCAGCGAATGTATATCTTGGTAGGCGATCACTTTTGTTTTGGGTATGTGTCACCTTTTCACAAAACTGCACTTTTAATTCCGTTTGCAAAAGAAATCTGCGCTTTCTCCCCCTAAACTTTTTGTTTTGGTAAATTAACGGCTAAACATTCTGCATTTGGCTGTGTGTAATTATATTATGCAGTTTTTAAGATAATTATATTTTACATCAAGTACATATCTACATTAATGTTTCTTTTAATAATCTGATATTTATTTATTTAAGTGCATTGATTCTTGTTTTTCGATGCAAATGAAGACCAGATTCACGTTTGAAACGATGCACAGTAAATGCAGTCTGTCTGCACAAATATGCACAACAATCCCCGCGGATGGACCCTCCATCGTATTTGTTTTCATTTTCAAACACGCAAAGGCAGATTCCATTTGATCTCTGCATCTGACAAGAGTTGCCGGCACTAATCCACAAAGATCTCACCAAGCCGCCTTTGCATGTTGTTTTACTCCCATCTCACGCGGCACTAGCATGGGGAGAACACTGGGAGGAGCGACTGACCTAGTTTTGTCCAATTGGATCTCGCGAAGGGCAGATACTGACCTACTTTAGGCCAATCGCGTGAAGGAGAGGCCGCCGGTAGGTTGCGTCCGCGCGTGCCTGAGCCATGTGCGCGCTACGAGCTCTAGTGCTGGCCTTAAGGTACTGTGGAAATACATTTGTGTCGGCCGAACTGATATGCTCACGTTTTTGGCTTATTCTAGCCAATGACAACTTGTAATATAGGAGAGAATGAATGAATATGATGGTGGTTAACGATGCTAGGAGCCACACATTGAATTTGAAGGGAAAAAACTTACTGCGGATTGTAATAGCTGCTTATGTTTTGGCTAGTTTTATCAAGTGTTTACATTTTGTAGGTACATTATCCAATACAACAGGCGATATACTGGGCAGTTCGCTCGAACACAGACCGTGCTAGGAGATGTATTTAGGACTTTTAAGATCAATGACTTGGTGCTTTTATTATTATTATGTATATGTTATTACAATTACAAGCTTAACTCATGCAAAAACAACTCGCTATACTGTACTGAATACTGTAAATTAAAATAAATATACATTTCCATATTATGCATGTCTTTAAATCTTAAGTAAATGCACAAAACCAACACATTTGTCATTCAAATTTAAATAAATATACATAAACGTAAACTATCTGCTTCTTCACAAAACATTAAAACAAATAAACAAATGTAATTATTGATTTCCACATCGAGCTTTGCCTTTGAGCTTGAGTGTATATGTGTTCTTCCGTTTCAATAAATTCGATTTATGGAAATGCCGCGGCAAAGAAGAGGTTAGCGAAAACGGGGCTGGCCTGATTTTAATATGTAAATCAAGACGCGTTCTATTGGCCAGAGCGCCTCATTTATCACCCTGTGGGCGTCGATAGAGGAGGTGTGCATAATGAATAATGAATAGCCCCGCCCATTAGTGCCATTCCCCCGTGAGAGGTGATGTCACGAGCGCTGCCCGTGTACGTTCCAGCTGACTCTTGCTACGATACCGAGCGCTCGCTTTACCGAGTGCCCAAAGAAAGAAAGAGAGGGAGAAAAAGAGAGAAAGAAAGAGGTTGCGGAGGTTAGCTACAAAAATAACGAGAAAGAGAGAGAGAGAGAGAGAGCAACAAAGAAGGGCACAGGAATAATAACAGCCATCAGTCTTAACCGTCATAGCTCACGTTTGATTGTTTTATACTTTAAAGAGGGAAATCATCTTTTTTATTTGCACACGGAGTTTTTTTATATTTCGACTCTGATATTGTAGTTTACAGGCAGTTTCATGTCGACTGTGTGGGATTGAATTGTATCTCAGCCTCCATGGACGCCCGTCTAATCCAACTCAATCGTTTTTTCGGGGAATATTTCTGTCCTGGCCGCGAGGAGCACCAGTTAAATGCGATGACATACGTCAACAAATGAGCGGCGACCCCACGGACATTTCCGAAACAATCTCCACAATATTGTTTTCAAAGGAGACAGTGCGCTTGAAGATGATGAAGTACAACTCCAGCATCTTTCTCACTTGAGCGGACCATATTGGACGTCAAATCACTTCAGTTTTTATCTAATGGGAACGCAATTGAATACGAATTTAAATGCTCATAAACTTCCATACACAGCCTGACAAACACCTCAACTGCCAAACTCAGAAAGCATCTCTACTTTTGACTGAAGCGTCTGATTCTGTCAAGCAGCTCAACAGTCCAGTGGTCTGAAGACATTAACTGGTTAAACCTGGACAAGGTGTTTCACCGAGGAATGTCCAGGCCAATTTCTCAAATATTACCACCTGACCTTCCAGCAGGGACCAGTCCACAGCTCGGTCCTGCAAACCCTGCAGGTACCACCACCAATGGCCACCTGAATAATTCCATGGCCAATCTGAAAACCCTTCTTCAGCTGCCTATTAAAGGGGACCAGAGAGGGAAGGACTGCTGTGAGATGAAAGGTGTGACTCTTTAATTATTCACTTAATTCTGTTGTTTTTGTTGTTACAATAATCTGTCATACACAATATAATTTGTTTGATGTAGTTATATTACCAGAAGAGTTCAGCTGTTTAACTTTTGTTCCCTCAAGAGCTCTGTGCATCCAGGAAGCATCGTCAATTCTTCAGCTCAATGAGACTGGCTTTAAGTCAACTGAACGGATAAATTGTCGACAAATAATGTCAATTAACAAGTTCATTGCAAATGAACGAAATTAAGGGCCTCTCCCCTCTCTTAAAGGGATCTCAGAAGCTCCCATGGCTGCTATTAAAGGGATGCCATCCTAAAATGCATTGAGGTGTTGTCTTGATACGGATGTACACATTGCTATTCGCTCAATCGCGCCCTCATGTGGATAATACACGTTATGTCAGTTTAATGGAATCGGGAAGAGGAGGAATGTATACTTTGACAGCCCCTTTAGTCAATCTCCAGATCTGTCATATATTGTTCATTTGCTAAATATGAGTTTGTTAATCAGATGATGCTTCCACTGCAGTGCTTTGTTTGGGTGAAACTCCTACGTCCCATCAAAATCCTTTTCTTTTTCCAATGTATTATTGTTTTCTACTGCCATTTGAACATTCTTTTCATTTGTTATATAGTAAAACACAGCTTCCCCCCCTCCTCGGCTATTGCTATGCAGTGCATATTCCCCAGCTCCATCTTCAAAAGCCCCTGCACTGGAGATGACAGCTCAGCTCTCTGCTTCCCTCAGAAGCACTCATGCAGCACTCTCATTTGCCCCCTCCCTCATATCTCTCATCTCTACCATCTCTCCATCTGAGCGACGGGCAGAGAAAAATAGAGAAAGACTTCCATCTTGGCCCCTGGCATTTCATCCATGGAGATGGCATTGTGTGTTTCCGAACCCTCTGCAGCTGTGCAGCTGTGCAGCAGTGCAGCAGTTCAAGGGTCACACACTGCCATGAGATTTGTTTATTCATTAAGCCCACTGTGGGCCCTTATGCACGGGTGCCATGTTTATTTGTGGTCATTTTTAGGGATGCGTCAATATTAAAACCCTTTCTGTTGTAGCTGTTTGTTTTTTTTGGCAATTTAACTGATATTATTTAATGGCCAATAACTGATAAATGACATATTGTTTACTACTTAACTATGAATATGAAAAAACACTAAATACAGGGATTTTAAAGGCTTCCACAGCAATATAACAAATCGTTTAAAAAGGATCTTGAAATTCCCTAAAGATTCAATTTGACAGATCTATTAAATTTTAAAAGTTACTAATAAATTATATATATATATATATATATATATATATATATATATATATACACACACACACAGTGTTTAGCATAATTGAGTACACCCAATTTTGAAAATAAATAATTTTATCCATTTCTCAGTGAATATAGTCAAAGTATTTTGGTGCATTTGAACAAAACAGCTTATTAAACGGATATGTTTGTTAAAATGATATTTTAGTCACCAAACATATAAAATACAGATTTTAAAACGAGGAAAAATCGAGAGAAGCAAAAAATTGAAAAATTTATGTAGGTTGTATATTTTCTTTTAAATATGCTAAATATTTTTCTAACATATAAATTTGGCTGTACTAGTTTTTAGACCGTTATCATAAGTTATTTTGTTAGATAAGCTCCATATTTGGCTTCAGTACTGACTAATCTAATGTTTATGCATATATAAAATATATCAAATTCATTCATTTTCTTTTTTGGCTTAGTCTCTTTATTAATCCGGGGTCGCCACAGTGGAATGAACCACCAACTAATCCAGCTTATGTTTTACGCAGCGAATGCCCTTTCAGCTGCAACCCATCTCTGGGAAACATCCATACACACTCATTCACACTCGTACACTACGGACAATTTAGCCTACCCAATTCACCTGTACCGCATGTCTTTGGAATGTGGGGGAAACCGGAGCACCTGGAGGAAACCCACGCGAACGCAGGGAGGACATGCAAACTCGAGCCAAGGCTCGAACCAGCGACCTTTTTGCTGTGAAGCGACAGCACTAGCTACTGCGCCGCCGCGTCGCCATATATCAAATTATTACATTACACTATTAAATTATTTCGTTTTACTAAATAATTAAAATAAATTATTTTATTAAATTAAGACTTTTAATGGGGTTCTAGGCGACGGCAAAGATAATTGAAATGTAAAAATAAGCATGCAATATTAACCAAAAGGTTTTTGTGAAATAAATCTATTAAAATACAATAAAATAAACAAATAAATAAACTGCATTTGGATTGGAGTTTTACCCTGGAAATTAACTAAAAATAAGTGTAATTAAATAAAGTACTACAATAACAAAATAAATAGTCTAATATTACAAAATTTATTAAACAGAAATACTAAAATGAAAAAGAAAAAAATATTAATATATGAAATTAATAAATACTATAATATGGTATAAAAATACAAAAATATCACTTAACCAATATAATAATTTATAATGTATGGAAGTTATAGATAACTGCTTTAGAATTTGCATTTTGTAACATCTTAGACATTTACATTTTTGGGGTGCAGTTTGCAGATTACATTACAATGACCAAGTACTGTCAAGTTGTGTTTACCACCGAGGGTATTTAACTCATAAATAAAAAATCTGACCGGAAAATTTTGATGGAACCAAAGATGGTTTAGTCAGAGTTTTGACACTTGCAATTAATTTGAACAAAATATCAGATTTCTGTTAATGTAAATTACAGTTTATGGACCCTTTTCACATTTCTGGGTTTCTCAGTATAGCGGTAGTCGTCATAGTCGGGTAAACTTGGAGCACAGTGAACAGGGGAGTACTAGAGGCAGCACGTCACTGGAAAATTTTGACGTAACAATATTTTTTTTTCTCTGCGATATAAATAAGATTTAACTAGATGACTTGAATATCTCTATTTGGAAAGTCTTTAATTTAGGTTAGTATTGGGATGGTTTTGTAGGAGAGTGAAATATAAATATATATTTTGTCATTTATTATGTGCATATAATAAACAAACAATTCATAATAAACAAAGCCATAATCTCAGTGGAACAAATATTAAAGTAATATAAACAGTGCTTTATGGTTTTCTGGGGAGAATATAAAAGTATTCTAGTACATAAATTGAATAATCAAATGAAAAATATCTTGCATAGTCCTCATCATACAAATTATTCAATACAATTATTTTTTATGCACTATTAAAATTGTCACATAGTTACAGGCCTTAAAACACCTGCAGATGATAAACTTTTAGTCTATTATAGTTCAATTCTACAGCGTCTTCAAAAATATCATGTGTTATATCTGTGGTTTCTGGTCAACTAACTTGAATGTCTTGCGACTATTGTGGATGCACACACTGCGATATGGATGCTCAAACCATATATTGTGCAGGCCTAGAGAGTACACATGGTGTCCACAAGGTCTTAAAGAAGTATTAAAAGTTGATAAATCAATGTAGAGCAATTTAAGGCCCTTAAAAAATATTTAAAGTTTTAATTGCTATTTTGCAAGATATTCAATTTTATATCATTTTTAATTATACAATGTTTAGTTGTATACTAAAGTTTGCCCGAATTAAATCTGCGAATATCAGGATGCTGTGTAGTTTATGAAATCAATTAAATCCTACTAGATTTGACATCGTGCTGCTTTGTTTACTGCAGTAACCAAGGCAACACCATTATTTCTGCAGTTCTGCAGTTATTATTTAGTAAATATACAGTAAGGTAAAATCTTGCCAGTGTTTGTAAGGTCTAAGTGGTTATAATGACTTAAAATGAATGGAAAAAGTCTTTAAAAAGGTATAAAAAGGTATCGAATTAATTAAATACTCTGGTACAACAAATACTTTTTTTTACAATCCTATTTGCTGAAATAATTAAAGAAAAACTAAACAATGGTGTTTTAAAGACTCAAAAAAAAAAAAATGAGATCGATAACGGCAGATAAAAGAAAACACGACTTAAATTTTACTGTCCTGCCCAAAAGACGCTGCATTAGAAACACCTCACACAAGCGCTTTAGTTTTACGTAATTCGATGCAAAGATGATATAATACATAAACAAATAGATATAAATGTTCATATGTATTAAAACAAATCTAAATATTAAAAACTTTCCAAGGATTTAAAATAGGGGTGTAAACCTACACTGTTCTCACAGTTCGGTTCGGTTACGATTATCATGCCATCGATTCGGTTCAATTCGATATCTCGGTGCACTACGGTGCATTGACTTTGCTTTCCACAAACAATTCGATATTTTACTTAGCAACACATTTCTTGTATTAAAATTTCTCATTTATGAATATATTTAAATTAAATGCTCTTTGTAATGCTATTTTGTCCTTTAATACAAGCAGTCGGATATATGTACTGTACCTTTAATTTGACCTGATCAAAGAAAACACTCTTTTTGAATGTATCAAACAAAACTCAAGGACATGCACAGAACAACATGAGCATTTAAATCAAATAAACGAATATAAATATTATCCCGCTTGTTTTTTAAGCATTGTTGAGCGAGTTTTTAAACACCTAATATTGATAGCACGCTCAACAGAAAAGGATGCAGTTGGCTCTGTTAAGCAAACAGTGACACGGACACTGATATTAAACAACCGCACTGATCAGCTAATCGATTACAGATGTGATGCGGTAGAGAAAACTCGCACTGCAGAAACGCTCGTGTCTGGATCCACAGGTAACTTATTGTTGTAAGAGCGAGAGAGAAGATAAAACGTCACCTCACGAACAAAGGGGCCACAGAGAGTGAGAGGGAGCTTGGTTCTTATGTACTTCCCTGTCAATGAAAGACTATCCAGCAAACTCACAAGCAGTGAGCCACAGTTTATCTGCTTTTTAATAATAGTTTTAAAGTAGTTGGAGTGTTTTAATTACTTGTGGTCTCCTCCCTCGCCATAATAAGCTGTCGCCATATAAAGCATATGTGATAAATGACGTCAGTATATATTAACCGTTTATGATTATAAATGAACCGACACCGAATTGTTTGAGTCTGCATCGCAGTGCATCTATGAATCAATTTATTTTGACACCCCTAATATTAATGATCACCATCAAGCGTATCAAAATGTCTTGTAAAAACAATCCTATTAATTCATTTCTATTAATATTAAAGCTTAGACGTTCACAGTGTGGATGTTTTTTTTTTAATAAATTGTTTGCTCGTTTACTCAAAAGATTTATTGCATTATTGTTCTTTCCTCTAGTCTCAGATAAAGACAAACCTTTAGACTCTGATGAGGATTCGCTGGGTGGAGGTGGTGGTGGAGGTGGAGGTATGAACGGTGGAAATGGTGTCCTGCGTTCCACCAACCAGTCCGCCTTCCTGGGCCCATTGCTATGGGAGCGCACCTTGCCATGCGACGGCGGCCTCTTCCAGCTACAATACATGGACTTGGAGGAGTTCTTGACGGAGAACGGGATGGGGTGCATGCCATCAGGGAACACCTGCAGTACGGCCGCACAGGTCCCATCTCAGAGCACACAGTCAGCCGTACCCAGCCAGAGCTCCCAATGTCCACCTTCATCCTCTCCGCCATGCTCTTCTTCAGCCTCCTCCATATCTTCCCTCTCCTCGTCGTCTTCATCTTCCTCTTTACTGGGTCTGGACGTGCCACAGGGCCCTGGACTGCTGGGAGGTCCAGAGTGTCTGCATGGTAAGAACGCTTGCGAGTTTTTCATAATAAAATAGATAGTTTGAGTAAAAATGTAATGCAAAGGGTTTTTTGGGGGGTTTCTTCTTTCTGTTGAGCTCAAAATAGGATATATTGACGATTGCTGGAAATTATTGACTTCCATCGTAGAAAACAAATATTATAAATGTCAGTGGCTACCAGTTTCCAACATTAGTCTATAGATCTTTTTGTTTAGAATGGGTGGACAGCAGAGTTGGGTGTAACGCATTCCTCAGGAGTGCATTACTGTATTTTAATTACATTATTGAGGAACACAGTAATGTAACGCATTACATTTTGAGTTTGTATAATTTGATTACAGTTACTAAAGTCAATGTAATTGCATTACTTACGTTACGAATATAGTTTTTAGAAGAAAAAAAATGCTTCTTTAAAATCACATTTTCCACTGCAACAGCAGTTAATAAGTATGTGCTTTTAAATTGCTGGAGAACGTGAGCTGAAAAGGCTGCTGACGAGAGTGGTTGCTTCTTCAAGTGGAAATAAACACAATACTTAATACTTTATACAAATATTGCTGTAAAATGCAGTCTATGTCCAGTCTCTAAAGAACTTTCGACTGCTTTTACCTCGACCAGAAACATGTTTAAGCACGTGAACAGAAAGCATTCTAGGACTATACTCGTCACTAAGGAGGACACTGGCGCCAAAAAACACCTACGGCCTAAACTCAGCCTAAACAGCCTAAATTGAATTTTTGTGCAGGATTGGAAGTGAAGATATCTTCTCAATGTGAAGAGAAGTGTAGCTGCTCATGAGGCTGTTCACAAATATTGTGTCTTTTGTGCATACAAATTCGTTACTGGGGATGCTCCGATCAGAATTTTTGGAGCTGATACAGAAATACTGATTCTGATGCTTCAAGTTTAATATAACTTTAACAGTGCATAAAGCACATTTTCCCTCTAAGTCTGGTATATATTTTTTATAATAATTATTTTTAAGGGGGTTTCACCTTTATTAATAGGACAGTGGAAATATAGAGACAGGAAAGTGTGGGGAGCAGAGATAGGGGAAGGATCAGCAAAGGACCTCGAGACGGGAATTGAACTCAGGTCGCTGCGAGCACCTCGGTGCTATGTGTCGACGCACTAACCACTAGGCTATTGGCACCGACCTAAGTACGATATTTAAGTGGAGCTTTTTCCTTTCCAAAAAGAATGAATGAAGAATGTTGCATATAATTCCTTAAACACGTCTCTTATAACCATTTAGTGTGGACAAGTCATGGTCAGAAACAGCTTTACAGAAAATAATAGATTAAACGGAAACCATTTGATAAGAAAAATGACTGACAATGCTATTTGGAAAAATTGCAATTGATGGAAAAATTATTCAACATGCCTCAATGAAGAAAAAGTTTGGAGTGCATTTTTGACGCATGACAAGTTAAAATGCATCTTCTTCTGCTTGTAAACCTGTAAACGAACACTTACGATTGTTTTATGCGATCGGCCAGATAAGCGAGTACCAGTTGAGTCTGTGCTTATCAGCCAATACCGATCTCCAGCTTATCGATCAGAGCATCCCTACTAATTACCTCAGACAAACAAAGATCACCAAAACACTGCAGTGCTTTTGCATACTATCGATTTCAGTGGTTACAGCTGTCCAGTTTTCTTCTTGTCTTCTTAAGTGTTAACAAAAAGACAAACAGGTTTGGAACAAGTGAATGATGAGAGAATTTTTAGTTTTGAACGAACTCTTTGGGCTCTATTCCTCTCCGCTGTCGCCACTGCCTCGCATGGTTCAGGATTGGTAGAGCTACGCATCGATGAATTTGCTCTTCAGTGTTTGAACTCTCAGTAATGATTAAATCACACTGAACTGAGCTAAACTGAACTGAACTGAACTTAAACACTAAAACCTGAACCACACTGTTCCAGTTACTGAACCACACTGTTCCAGTTACTATGACCATTTATGTGAAGCTGCTTTGACACAATCTACATTGTAAAAGCGCTATACAAATAAAGCTGAATTGAATTGAATTGAATATTTTGACTGTCCATGCGCAGAGCGCAAAACGCAGGGCGCAAACGCTTTCAGGGCATGTCAGAACGCATTTTTGCTAATTTAAGGGCAGGAAAATCCGCTTTGCGCCATGGTTGAGTCTAAAAGGGTTGAGTTTATTTTCTTAATGAGTTATAGTTGTGTTTTGAGAATAAACCAATTAGAGTCTCATCTCCCATTCCCTTTAAGAGCCAGCTGCGTCGCGCCATAAGCGCATTTTGACGTAAAGTAAGTTCACTTTCGCTTTTGCTCTCGTGGATAGGGAAACCTTTACGCACAGACATCAATTAGCCAATAAATAATTAATTTTGTTTGTTAAGCGCAAAGATTTGTTTCAAAACTATTTCTAAATTCAGTTCTAATTTCCAGCAAACGAATAAATGAACAATAATAACCAAGTGTGGTCAAAATACTGAGTTATTTCCAAATACACCTGCCATGCCCGATATGGTCTAAAATTTGACAGGTGGACAAATCTAAGCTTGTTTTTAATAAAACAAATATAAATATGGATATAATAAATAATACTTCTAATAATAAAAACATTATACAAAAGCGAATTGAATGAACTGAAAAAGCCTCCCGAGATGAAGAAAGTAAGGCAGTGGTTTTTAAATCTTCATGTAGGCTAGAAATTAATATGTTTTGTAATATTTTAATCATTTATATTTATATCCTGTATATATCCTTATTATATATATATATATATATATATATATATATATATATATATATATATATATATATATATATAATAAAACACGCCTGCTTTTTTAGACCAGAACGCCTATAGGCGCACATTTGAGCGCAAATGCATTTGCTATTTAAACAGTGTGGCGCAACACCTCAAAATGACCCTTGCGCCGAGCTAAAACTACCAAAAGACTATTGCGACGCGCCTTGCGCCACATTGCGCCAGGTGTATGATAGGGCCCTTTAAGTCTTTTGAATATGTCAGACTGCTTTGATCAACCCATTGTAATGTTTTTCAGTGAATACTGAAAGAGCTGTTTGTTTAGTGTTTTTATAGGTATATTGTGTTTTAAAAGCAACTTCAAAGTAATTAGTAATCTGATTACTTTTTACATTAAGTAATTAGTTATGTAATCAGATTACAGTTTTCCAATAGTAATCAGTAATTTGTATCTATTGCTTTTTCAAAGTAACTTACCCAACACTGGTGGATGGTGGGTAAACGATTACAACATTTTCAGAAATATCCCTTTAATATGTCAAATACAGTTTAGTATGCTAAAATTAATTTCATAAACTGTTTAAAATTGTTTGGTGGACGACTTTTTTTAATAATGTAAGATATAATATTTTGTCTTCTTCGCGTTCACATTTTTGTGTGTGCGCTGGCGTGAACATGAGCAGGGCAGTCTCATGCAGACTGCAGTGATGCATGACTGGATGTCTAAAACTGTTGGCCTGTGATGCCCAGGGCAATGCAGGCTTTGAAGCTTTAAGGGCACAGCTGTGTGAGTGTGTGCGAGTGTACTAGTGCGTGTAGAGTAGGAACGTTTCTTTACAGCATAATCATCAGAGCATAATAATAACCTCATGTAATATGTGGGGAATCACCACATTTAGCTTTACCAGGAAAAGAAATCCTACCTAGCTAGAAATGTAGCGGCATTAATGATTGCACATTGTGGCATCGCCATTGGTGCTAGTACAAATGCTTCTACTGTGACTCTATTTTTAAGACAGTGTTAAATTGGGATTAATATAAATATTAGTTTGCAGAATTCAGCACTGTATTATGACACAGATGCATTAGAGGAATTTTGTAAATGCTGCACAGAAGGAGAGAGGAGATGGAAGGTGCATTTCTATTGCATGTTTTCAAATATCTCTCTTTTTCACTCCCCCTCCCTCTTGTTCCCTCACACGTTGAGGCCATGTGCAGTCGACTTGTCACATGCTGATGCAGAGAGCAATGGAGAGAGAGACTGAGCGGAAAGAACAGACAGGGGAAGAGAAGGAGGGGCGAGCGGAATAGAAAGAGAAAGCTAAAATGATAAATCTACATTTTATGAGACATTTAGGTCTGAGCCCGGTCTTTTTATTACGGTAAAATAGTTGTGTTTGGACATCTGAATCTGATCAGGTTGTGTGTGCTCTATACATAATAAGGGATAGTTACAATTAAGGATTAGTTCAGTTAAAAATGAACATTTACTCGCTATTTACTCTCCCTTAAGTGGTTCCAAACATTTGAGGTTCTTTCTCCCGTTGAACATAAAAGAAGACACTTTAAGGGAAAGTGGAAACCCTCAACCATTGACTTCCATAATAGGTAAATCAAACAGAATTTGATGGTTATAGGTTTTCAGCATTCTTCAAACTTTATTTTTTTGTGTTTAACAGACTCATAATAGTTGGAAACATGAAAAGGGGTCAGTTTCATTTTTTGTGTGAACTTTCCCAGCGAGAGGGGTCTGGATGCAGACCTGGTGCAGTGCAATCTGGGCTGCACCCAATGCTTTTTGATGGGCTCCCCTAACCCCACCCATCACAGTGATATCACTAGCTTCATTTGAGTGCATTGTGTCTGAAATTGCATCACTGAGTGATGCAATCTCAGCTTGCATCATAAAGGCTGCATCCAGATACTGTTGATCCCAGCAGGCAGAGGACATCAACATAACATCAGTTTGACTTTGTACCCTAATGACATAGGTATGTTGCATTTTTGTTTGTGAATGAAAATCCGAGTTCAAAATTCAGAACTCGATGTCAGGCCAACATTAATGTCTAACATCCAACCTAAAATCAAACAAATATCAACATCTAATGATGTAACAGCCTGGCGTTGTGTGGAAGTTACCCCTATGATGTTTATCAGACGTTGGATTTTGGTTGCCATACCTTACGAATAAATGTCAGTATTCTAAGTCAATATAACGTTGGTTTAGGTTGTTGGCTCGACGTTAGATTTTGGTCACTTTCAAACACAAGCTAAAATCCACCAAATATCAATGTCTTCTTCTTTGATATTTAACGGCGTTTGGCATCCAACTTCAATAGTGCATTACCGCCCTCTTCTGTACTGGAGTGTGGACCGGATTTAGACAGAGATAACTACTGTTCCCTATTACTTTATACTCCCCTCATCACCCATTTCCTTTTTTAAATAATTAATTCATTAATTTTATTAATAATATGTGTATTTATATACATACACACATACATGCACATATACAAATATGAGCAATTCCATGCAATATTCAAGTTTTTTGTGTAAGCAAGTATTTTACAGTGCTTTAAAAATGCTAAAAATGTCTGTTAATGTTTTCAAACAGTTATATTTGATTTACCAAAATCACACTAGTGGCAATTTCACATCTGTAACATCCATAACGCAGAGATGTCACATCCATAACAGTGCTGTTTCCTCATAAATAAAAAAGTCAAATAAAGTAAAATCAATTGTTTTTGTTCTATAGAGAGCCGACTCTTATCCTTTTGATTAGCGATATTTTTTTTGGGTTGTGCAGTTTAACTAACAGAATTTATACAGTGTTTGTTGTGTACTGTAAACTCGATAACTTTTTTCGTCACATCCATAACACGTTTATTTTCCGCATTTAAAGTATAAAAATGTTATCAGTTTGATATTTTTCTGATCCCATAACTCTGTGGTTAGTAGTTTTGGAAAATATAAATAGATGTTTCAATATAACGTCAACATAGACTTTCTCTGTAAATTCATGTTTTGAGATTTTACTGCAAATGTCACATCCATAACGCTGGAATTGCTCATATACATGGATATGCATGCATCCATACACACACATCCATATACTTTTCATACCATAACTTTACATATTTCACTCTATATCCTATTTACCAATCTAGTGAGCTTTAAGAAATAAAATAAATGTGTTTTAATGTCTCTTGATGTTTATCCAAGTATATCCTTTAGAGAGCACCCTTGATTTTTCTTTTAATTTGATCCTTTCATTCTCATATTTTTTTAAACCCAAGCACCACATTATCCACAGTTTATGTTATTACAAAATTCACACCTATATATATGTGTTTACCCATTGCTTGCAAGTACTTGTTTAATCTACAGTGTCCAATCCTTATCCAAGTTATGATCATTTCTTCTTTTGGATTTCTTCCAGTAGCCCTCCTAACTCCAACCTTCTGTTGGATGCTATATAAATGTCTTCCTTTCTTCTCTTCATCCAAACTTTTCTGCCTTTTTTCCCAAAATTTTTAGCCAAATCATCGTTTTCAAATATCAACGTCGTTATTGGATGTCAAAATAACGTTGTCCTTAGACACTGGCTAGACATTCAACATCACAGACTTTATCTAACGTAATATTAATGTCTTATGACGTGTGCCTGCTGGGATCCCTTTAACTTATGCATAGATAGATAGATAGATAGATAGATAGATAGATAGATAGATAGATAGATAGATAGATAGATAGATAGATAGATAGATAGATAGATAGATAGATAGATAGATAGATAGATAGATAGATAGATAGATAGATAGATAGATAGATAGATAGATAGATAGATAGACAGACAGATAGAGAAAGAATTAAAATAGAAAAGGTTGGAACAGAATTTGGGTAAGTTTGCTAATGGACAGGAGGATGAATGGATCGACAGATAGAAGTTTTTTTTAACTTTTCAACTATAACATTTTTTTAAATGAAGCTCAAACTAAAATAGACACTGGCTAGGTAGGTAGGTAGGTAGGTAGGTAGGTAGGTAGGTAGGTAGGTAGGTAGGTAGGTAGATAGATAGATAGATAGATAGATAGATAGATAGATAGATAGATAGATAGATAGATAGATAGATAGATAGATAGATAGATAGATAGATAGATAGATAGATAGATAGATAGATAGATAGATAGATAGATAGATAGATAGATAGATAGATAGATAGATAGACAGACAGACAGACAGACAGACAGATAGAGAAAGAATTAAAATAGAAAAGGTTGGAACAGAATTTGGGTAAGTTTGCTAATGGACAGGAGGATGGATGGATCGACAGATAGAAGTTTTTTTTAACTTTTCAACTATAACATTTTTTTAAATGAAGCTCAAACTAAAATAGACACTGGCTAGACATTGAATTTTGGTCACCCAAGATCACAACCTAAATCTAACCTAATATCAATGTCTTGACGTGTGACGGCTGGGATCCCTTTAACTTTAAGTAGATAGATAGATAGATAGATAGATAGATAGATAGATAGATAGATAGATAGATAGATAGATAGATAGATAGATAGATAGATAGATAGATAGATAGATAGATAGATAGATAGATAGATAGATAGATAGATAGATAGACAGATAGATAGACAGATAGATAGACAGATAGAGAAAGAATTAAAATAGAAAAGGTTGGAACAGAATTTGGGTAAGTTTGCGAATGGACAGGAGGATGGATGGATTGACAGATAGAAATTTTTTTAACTTTTCAACGATAACATTTTTTTAAATGAAGCTCAAACTAAAATAGACACTGGCTAGACATTGAATTTTGGTCACCCAACATCACAACCTAAATCTAACCTAATATCAATGTCTTGACATGTGACGTGTGCCTGCTTGGATCCCTTTAACTTTAAGTAGATAGGTAGATAGGTAGGTAGGTAGGTAGGTAGGTAGGTAGGTAGGTAGGTAGGTAGGTAGGTAGATAGATAGATAGATAGATAGATAGATCCCTGTCGTATGGGGGTATGTGATTGTGATTGTGTGTGTGAGTGTGTATGTTTGCTTTACAGTATGTAAATTGTGCTCACAGCTGCATCTCTTGTTTTTGTCTCCTCCCGCATAGAAAGGAAGAGGCCCAAAGGACAGCTGGTCTTGTCCAGGCCCATGGGAAAAAAATGCACTGTTTTCCCTTGCTAGATTTTAGACAGACGAGGATTAGTACAGGAACTGGACAATGCGTTGGTTCGTTGGGAGGGGTGCGCGCTTTACGTAACAGTCTTCCTATATCACTTGGGTTTGTTCTTTTGTGTGTTGTCTTAATGAATGAAAAACAAATCTTTGGCAGGCCTCCTAAGTGCTCAGGCTTAGAAGCTCATTATTAAATTACAAAGAATTTGATTATGTTTACATGAGCAAATTGGGCTTTCAAGAGCTGTTCTAACTCCGAAGCCGGATTGTTTTGTTGTCGAAATAAAACCGAATTATCGTATTTCAACATTTACAGCCCATGTGTAAAGGTGCACACAACAGTAGACCTTAGACGCAGACAATTGCCTGTTAATTATGTGTGTGGATCCTAAATGCATTATATCTGTGTAAGAAATTACAGAGGTATGATTCAAAGCAGGCACTCAGAGCCGCTAAAGCAGAAACTGCCATTGCGGCTAATGTATCATAATTAGCGTCAAGTGCTCGCCTTCCAATCACAGCGTTAACAGCTCCCCTCAAAGCATATTTCAAACCAGAATAAAGGAAAAATACATGGAAAGCCGGCCATGAAAAGTGGAAAGCGAGGCAGAATGAATTTAAAAGCTCACGACTATGAACAAAAAGCGAGCGTTTTCAGGGTCAGTTTTAAGACTGTTCTCTGGGAGTTTATAACATGAATTGAAACTGCAGGTTGCCTTGTCGACCTTGCCTGCCAGCTGCTGAAATTGGCAAACATCCACATTGGCTTTTGGCGCACCCTGGTGGTCAAAACATGCCACTGCAGCTTGTCAGGGAATACACACACACACACACACACACACACACCTATTGTTCATAATCCTCTTTGCTTTTAGCTCAGACGCGTGGTGTTTTCATCTGTCTGGTAACATGTGGCTTGCGACATTGTTTTTATTCCTGACGCTTTCTCTTTTTCTTAACAGGGGCGCAAACTGTACCACCTGACCCTTCTCAGAGCCCCTCATGCCCTCCTCCGCCGGTGGTGCCACCTACCAATGCGGCTGATGTGATGGTGAACTTTGACCCCGACCCTGCTGACCTCGCCCTGTCCAGTGTGCCAGGTCAGGAGGCGTTCGACCCGCGCCGACATCGCTTCTCAGAGGAAGAGCTGAAGCCGCAGCCGATGATCAAGAAGGCCCGCAAGATGCTGGTGCCAGATGAACAGAAGGTACTATTCTGCTTTTCTGTTCAGAGCTCGTTTTTCAAAATTTAAAAATAGACTTGACAGATACATCGTGTGACTGACATAAATGCGCCAATGAAATCTAATCATGTAAATAATCTCCAAAATGCGTTATAAGATACAAAATGGCAACCGTATTTAATTAAAATGAACTAAAAACAAACTAATGTTAATAAAAAAACATTTAAAAATATATATATAAATAAAAACCTTAACGTAAATATTAAAATATGGATACAGACTATTAATAAAAACAGCAATAATATCTGATTTGTACTTAGTTTAAATATGCTGTTATTATTACAATATGTTATGATGAAGGATGCAATAATATAAAAAAATTATTTTGTAAAAAATCATATAAAGCCAGTAATTCTAAAAAAAAAAAAAAAAAAAAAATATATATATATATATATATATATATATATATATATATATATATATATATGTGTGTGTGTGTGTGTGTGTGTGTGTGTGTGTGTGTGTGTGTATATATATATATATATATATTTAATTTATATTTAATTTAATGTTAAGTCACAAATGTATGTAACAAATAAATATGAGCTATGTTAAAATGCTGTACTATTCAGTCAATTATAATAATTATTTTTAAAGTAAAACATGAAAAGTACAAAAATTTACTTAACTAAAGTTGTACATTTAAAAACATACTTGTTACTGAAATAAATTCAATTTTGAATTTTAAAACAATATGTTTTAGTTTTTTTTAATATACACTCACTGGTCACTTTATTAGGTACACCTTACTAGCACCGGGTTGGACCTTCTTTTGCCTTGAGAACTGCCTTCTCAATAGATATAATCAACAAGGTATTGGAAATATTCTTTTGGTCCAAATTGACATGATAGCATCACGCAGTTGCTGCAGATTTGTTGGCTGCACATCCATGATGCAAATCTCCCGTTCTACCACATCCCAAAGGTGCTCTATTGGATTGAGCTCTGGTGACTGTGGAGGCCATTTGAGTACATTGAACACATTGTCATGTTCAAGAAACCAGTCTGAGATGATTCACGCTTTATGACATGGCGTGTAATCCTGCTGGAGGTAGCCAATCAGAAGATGGGTACACTGTGGTCATAAAAGGATGGACATGGTCAGCAACAATACTCAGGTAGGCTGTGATGTTTACAAGATGCTCAATTGGTACTAATGGGCCCAAAGTGTGCCAAGAAAATGTCCCACACACCATTACAACACCAGCCTGAACCGTTAATATAAGGTAGGATACATGGACGCTTTCATGTTGTTGACCCCAAATTCTGACCCCACCGTCCGAATGTCGCAGCAGAAATCGAGCCTCATCATACCAGGCAAAGTTTTTCTAATCTTCTATTGTCCAATTTTGGTGAGCCTGTGCAAATTGTAGCCTCAGTTTGCTGTGAAATTTGCATTAAGGAGCAGTTAAACAGGTGTACCTGGGTGTAGGTGTACCTAATAAAGTGGCCAGTGAGTGTATATTTAGTTTAGCCAGATGTGAAGAAAGTATATGCACAACAGTTTGATAGACATAAAAATAACGAAACTTACATTTAAAAAATAAAAACGAAAAACTTTTTCTAACTATTAAACTCAGAAACTTCTGACGCAGTGACGCAGTAGGTAGTGCTGTCGCCTCACAGCAAGAAGGTCACTGGTTCGAGCCTCGGCTGGGTCAGTTGGCATTTCTGTGTGGAGTTTGCATGTTCTCCCTGCGTTTGCGAGGGTTTCCTCCAGGTGCTCTGGTTTCCCCCCACAGTCCAAAGACATGCAGTACAGGTGAATTGGGAAGGCTAAAATTGTCCGTAGTGTATGGATGTTTCCCAAAGATTGGTTGCAGCTGGAAGGGCATCCGCTGCGTAAAAACATGTGCTGGATAAGTTGGCGGTTCATTCCGCTATGGCAACCCCAGATTAATAAAGGGACAAAGCTGAAAAAAAATGAATGAATGAAACTTAAAAACTACAAAATCTACTTCAGATTGCAAAAATGATGATAAATGATGCACATATAATACAATTTCTCACTGATAATTGTCTCACACACAATAATATTACAAAACAACACAAATTTTCTCTTTTTTCAGGATGACAAGTACTGGTGTCGGCGCTTGAAAAACAACGAAGCAGCGAAGCGTTCTCGTGACGCTCGACGGCTGAAGGAGAACCAGATTTCAGTGCGAGCAGCATTCCTGGAGCGGGAGAACGCCGCGCTACGACAAGAAGTCGCCGATATGCGGAAAGAGCTAGGCCGCTGTCGCAACATCATCAACAAATACGAGAGTCGCCATGGAGACTTATGAAAAGGAGAAACAAAGAACGCAAGCAAACGAAAGACAATTACTGATTTTCAAATGGCGTTTCAAGGGCTGTTCAACTCATCCTGGAATAGCGTTTTCTCGGTGCGTTTGCTTCAAGTAAGCACTACGACACTCTGCGCACACACTTTTTCTTTCGTACGTGCAGCGGGCGTTTGCTGTGTGGTGCTTGGTTGAAACAAATACTTGAAAATGGTGGTTCAAAGTTGAACAGCCCCAGCGTGAGGGATGTGCACAAGGTCTACACGTAAGCACAAGCGTATTTCACAAGCGCCGCTTCTTCTCCTACGATGCCACCCCTAACCTTGACTGTGCAATCCAATCTCTCATAATGCTCACGGATCATAAAGGCAGATCATTTATAATGTCAGGTAGCCCTTGTGAACATCCTCTTTCTATATATATACGGGATGATTTTTCTCAGAGAGAGAATTATAAAGGAGGTGGTAGAAATGTAATTTTTTTCTATGACAAAAAAACACATTGTATATTTTTGAACTGTTAGGGTCAGCTATAATAGAGTAGCGGAGGAGGGAACGCGGAAGGAGGCGAGAGCGCGAAAGAGATTTTGACATAGGAAAACTGTATATTTTTATACTTGCAGAAGCAGGCAGGCGATGAGATTTTGGAAATAATCTTTTTTGTATATTTTATATATGGGTGGGAGGGTTCGGGGGAGCTGGACTGAAAGAGGGCTACATGAAGAAAAAGTCAGGATTGTTATCATTACATGATATATTTTCGACATCAGGGGCAGGTCAGGAAAAACAAGACTTATAGGATGAATGTGAGGAAAGAAACGGAGCTGATAAGGAACAGGGAAAAATAGTGTATAGTTTCACATTTTTCATCATGGGTTTGTTCGAGCACTTGTTTTTGGTATCTTTTTTCTTAAAATTCGGTGTATGTGTGTTAGTTTTATCCTGAGGTGAGAAGGCGACTGAAAGAGAGAGAGAAAGAGGAAGAATTTTTTCATGTATATATTTAAATGTTGAAGCAAATACGTCCACACACACACACAGACATGCACACACTTTAACACAAAGTGGTTTTCGAGGCCAGTACTATTTGTTGAAGTCAGAATTATTAGCCCCCCTTTGAATTTTTTTTATTTTTTTTTTATTTCCCAAATTATGTTTAACAGAGCAAGGACATTTTCACAGTATGTCTGATAATATTTTTTCTTCTGGAGAAAGTCTTATTTGTTTTATTTTGGCTAGAATAAAAGCAGTTTTGAATTTTTTAAACACCATTTTAAGGTCAATATTATTAGCCCCTTTAAACTATATGTTTTTCTGATAGTCTACAGAACAAACCATCATTATACAATGGCTAGCCTAATTACCCTAACCTGCCTAATTAACTTAGTTAACCTAGTTAAGCATTTAAATGTCACTTTAAGCTGTTTAGAAGTGTTTTGAAAAATATCTACTCAAATATTATTTACTGTCATCATAACAAAGATAAAATAAATCAGCTATTAGAAATGAGTTATTAAAACTATTATGTTTAGAAATGTGTTGGAAAAAATCTTCTCTCCGTTAAACAGAGATTGAGGGAAAAAATAAACAGGGGGGCTAATAATTCTGACTTCAACTGTTTATATATGCACACACACTTCTTAAACACAAGAACCACAGAACTGTTTAACAGCAATACCGTTTCTCTCTCTTTCTCTCTTCCTCAAGCTTTTGACATTGTGATTGGTGCTGGATTGGCATTTCTCACCCAGGTTGAGTCGGAAGCGAGTGGGTTGCATGCTGGCGCATGCTCGTGTATTTTTCCACTGCAGGAAAAAAGCACTCTTGGTGTTTACGACCGTCATTTTATATGGTGCTCACCCAGTCTCTTGACCCGAACGCACATAACCTGTTTGCCTATAACCTTTACTCTATTATGATTTCTTATGATTATTGTAAGAGGAATCGTATATATATATAGACCTACACAAGTATATCTATACATCTCCTCAAAATTAACCCCACATCCCTCAAAAAAAGACATGCACCCTAATACTACTGTACCATACAAAGTACAATATTATATATTAAATATTAAACTATTCTCTCACTAGATATATGTGTGTACATGAGTATATGCTTGAATACGTGACTTTAGATGTAATTTACATAACTTGAATATATAAATGTAGTATCTTTCCGATAAAAAAAAATATATAGATCTGATTTCTTATCAGTTTTCTCAGGTGTCTGGGATGACTTTGAAGAAAAAGAGAAAAGAAACACGCCACGCTGATCAGCAAAACTGTGGCTCTTTTTGCTTGATTGTTGTCCAATTTTTTGGAGCCAGCTAGCTGAATAAATTCCACGGAAATGAATAGTGCACTACCAACTATTTTTGGAGGAAGATTCTGTTTTAAAAAAACAAAAAGGAACAAAAAGAAAAAAACTGTGCTGGATATATATATATATATATATATATATATATATAAATATATAAATATAACTTGATTACTTTACAGATAGGAATTAAATGTCTTTTCCTTTTGAACCTTGATGTTCTATTATTACGATTGCTTGCATTATCATTGCTGTTGTTATGATTATAATTCTCGCGTTTCTTTTCAGCGTTTTCTTGCAACGACTTACTTTTCAAAGGAAATGTAATGCTCTCTTACCTCCCTTGTAACTGCAAGACCATCTCGAATTATTCTGTCGAGCCTGTTCACTGTTGGATCCATCCACCAAGACTGTGCAAGGCCTCAAGTGCAATGGGGGGGGCCGTAATCTTGTCCTTGTGTGTATGAATTTGCTATAACCTGAAACAAACACACAGTAGACTGACTGTTCCTTTCTTTTGACAGAACAACTTCTACCACCTTTGACTAGCTGCTTTTTTTGATGCCAAGTCAAAGACTTACCGTTTGTTTAAAAGAAGCTTCTAAAGCAAGCGAAGGTTGAAACCTTAAAGAGCTTGAAAACTTTTGACAGTGCTATTTTTATATGTAACTGTGTGCACATAACTCTTTCATGGGCATTAGTAGCTCGGCGTCACTTTTGCGGTGGCAGCGCGTTGCTAAATGTTATTGCGGGTATTGTATTCATCATTTGATCCCTTTCCACGTGGATTATGAACAGCTCCCTGTTTGTGACTGTTATGAACTTTTGAATCCCATGAGTGCACCACTACCAAACATCACTTGGTAATGTCTACTGTTCCTGCCTATAGGGATGCTGGGAAATGTGGTCTGGCTTTTTCCCCTCAAACACCAATAAATAATTACCCCTATTCACTGACAACGATTCTATTGTGCTGTGAATAACAACAGAACTGATGGCTCAAAGTTTTTTGTAGATGGGCAATTTCCATTGGATGTCTTGGAATCTGATCAGAAGGCAGATTTCATTTTATAAACCACTGGACTAGAATGGTACGCCAAACACTGACTCACACACTCTCAATGATTATAGAAGTGAAATAGCAGCTCGGCCCTTGCTGGTGTGTTTTGTTTACTCTGCACTATTGTCAGGCTCTAAGCTAATTGAATAAAGGTTAACAGCAGATGTGTCGCACACCCCGTCGGCCAACTATCCAAACCAGTTTCAGGCAGGCAAAAGGGCTTTTCAAGCCTGCTTGCATGCCATCTGTTGCGCATTGAATGCTTACGTCAAATCATGCCTACACTGTAAAAAAGAAAACATAATTTAGGGTAACAGAGTTGTTGCCAGAGTTTTGCTGTTAAAAATACGATAAAGACAAAGTTTTACAGTTTACAGTAAACTCCCGTATTTTGTTAGTTTGTAGTGTCATACATCCATATTTTGAAGTCTAACATATACACACTGTACCTTTGTCAATGACCATAAGGGATGAGAAAAAAACAAATAAATGGAACCACAGTAATGTCAACACATTTGCATAAAAAGGAAGCGTTACGTAGGGAATTCTGGGAAAGTCAATTTATAGTTATTTACCATAGGGTTGTCACGATACTGAATTCAATACCAATCGATACTCATTCATTCGTTTTCATCCGCTTATCCAGGGCCGGGTCACAAGGGCAGCAGTCTTAGAAGAGAATCCCACACTTCCTTCTCCCTAGACACCAGCTCCTCTGGGGGGATCACGAGGCGTTCCCAGGCCAGCCATGAGACATAGTCCCTCCAGCGTGTCCTGGGTCTTTCACGAGGCCTTCTCCTTGTTGGACATTCCTGGAACCCCTCCCTAGGTAGGCATCTAGTAGGCATCCGAAACATATGCCTGAGCTACCTCAGCTGACTTCTCTCGATGTGGAGGAGCAGCAGCTCCACTCCAAGCTTCTCCCGAGTGACAGAGCTCCTCACCCTATTTATAAGGGGGCGCCCTGCCACCCTGCAAAGGATACTCATTTCGGCTGCTTCTATCTGAGATCTTGTCCTTTCAGGCCTTAACCCGAAGCTCATGACCATAGGTGAAAGTAGAAACGTAGACTGACTGGTAAATGGAGAGCTTTCCGTTTCGGCTTAGCTCCTTCTTTACTACAACTGACCCACATTGCTGCACCAATCCGCCTGTAAATCTCACGTTCCATCCTTCCCTCACTCGTGAACAAATACCCAAGATACTTAAACTCCTCCACTTGGGGTAAGGACTTTCCTTCAACCTGAGATGGCAAACCACTTTTTTCCAATGGAGCACCATGGCCTCGGAGTTGCTGAATCTCAAACCGCCCCAGTGCATGCTGTAGGTCCATGTTCGATGAAGCCAACCGAATAACATCGTCTGCGAATCGATTCTGCAATTATAAAAACATCCATTTCCCGCTAACATTTGAACACATTCTTAAACGCTGCTGATTTGCCCTTGTTTTCATGAGCTCAACAAAAATGACTATAATTGGCCGTGGAGGTCACCGAACTCTCCTCCGTTTACTGTGTGTAACTAAAGATACAGGGAGACTGGAGCATTTTAAAGCCTTGATTCATCAGGGGACAAATAAGCTGTTCGACGTGACTTTGAAAGGCTCTAGTTTCCATGTATTTGTG